TTACAAGCTGACATTAATTGCATGAGAGACCTCGTTAACTCCAAAGTTCAGTGGAATTATGTTATTAATTTGTGTGGGCAAGACTACCCCCTGAAAACAAATAAAGAAATCATAGAATATATAAAAACCAAGTGGAATGGTAAGAACGTCACTCCTGGGATAGTGCAGCCGCTGCATGTGAAGCACAGGACAGAGGTCAGCTACAGGGAGTTTGTGCACTCGGGAGTGCCCTACGTGTACCCAGCAAAGGTCAGGAAGGCTCAGCCCCCGCACAACCTCACCATCTATTTTGGCAGTGCCTATTACATCCTCAGCAGGGCCTTTGTGCAGTTCACCCTGAGTGATGCCCGGGCTAAAGCTCTGCTGGAGTGGTCCAGGGACACCTACAGCCCTGATGAGCACTACTGGGTCACCCTCAATCGATTACCTGGTAAGAGTTGGGCATTTGTGCCACAAATCAACCCAGCAGGGCGGGGAGAGGCTGTGAGCTCGGAGCTGAACAGCTCTGAAATGCAGAAATAAAATAATTCCTTCAGCTTTGCTGCTGCCCTTTTGAAAAGTCATCTCTGGTGGCTGAGAAACAAAGCTTGATTGCAGGAAATGGCTATGGCAGTGCAGACCAGGATTTGGAAAAATGCTGGTTAAAAAGAAGGCTTTTGCTGCATGAAAGCTTTTGCTCTAAAGAAATTTTAAAAAGCAATAATACTGAGAACGATACCTTGTTCTTATGACATAAATATCTGCAAATAAATACTTAATGTGAGTGCAGTTAAGAAATGTCCAGCAGTGAAAATTTTCCCTGTAATAAGTAGAAAAGAATCTTATCAGAGCCTTTTGTTTTGAAAGATGCTCCAGGGGCTACACCCAATGCAGGCTGGGACGGAGACCTAAGAGCCATTAAATGGAAAGATCAAGAAGGGCTCTCACACAAAGGCTGCAAAGGTAACGTCAGTTTTGATCATGAACTTAAATTTCATTCACTGGTGAGCATTAATTGATTACATATTATTTAATGCAGCTGTTAAATGTGCCTCAGTGGTCATATATAATTTATTTTGAAAGTGTTAAATAAAACAAAGCACCCTGTAAATTACTGCACTATATCCAATTGAAGAGATTTTGATATATATGTTAAATTAATATATGAGTTACATATTTTATATATTTTGATATGAGCACAGTATCTATCCACTGACAACCCTTCTTTCAGCCCCTAATTACCAATGCACTAATTTGTCTGATCAGGTCTCAGTGGAGGGGCTTTACCTGACAAGGATGTTTGTCAGGAACTTTCATCAATATTGGCTTGAATCCCTTCAATCTGAACAACAATAGGACAGAATAGTGCTGGCCACATGGAAAGCATGCAGAAATAATTAAAATCCCCAAGTGTGCAAGCTGAGCCCGGGTGTGATTGAGCAGGGAATCCCAGCAGGAGCTCAGAACATCTGATGCCCACCTACAAGAATTTATTGAGCAGAGCAACATGGCAGGGAAGCAGCTGGAGGTAACAAACATCTATTTATGTAAAACATAAACATTCTAAATGTCTTTATAAATTGTGGCATTATCCTCCAGCTCCATTTCTATGCAGAAATCCAAAGGTGAAAAACTCTTTTAAAAAACGCTTCCGCTCATCTTCCCGCTGCTGCCACACCTCTCCAATTTATCTCGGCAGGTCATTACGTCAGAGACATCTGCATTTATGGCCTGGGGGACCTGCAGTGGATTATTGAGTCCCCCCACCTGTTTGCCAACAAGTTTGAGGCTGGCAGCAACCCGCTGGCCCTGGAGTGCCTGGAGCGGCGGCTGCGGCTCAAGGCGCTGCGCCAGGCTCGGGTGCCCATCGAGCAGCACTGGCGCCTGCAGGAGCACAGCCCCTTCAACATGCAGCTGGATGTGTGAGCCAGCCCCTCACAGCACGTCCTGGGCAGCAAACTGCAGGAAATGCGGATATTCACAGCCACAGCTTCACTCTGTGCATCGAGGGTAAAGCACAATCCGGCACATAAACGGGTTTGTTTATTCCCGTAGCGATGGGTTCGTTCCCAAACAATGCCAGAATTCAAGGGGGGAAGTTCATAGTTCATTAAGTGACTTGTTTAGCTGGAAAATTAATATTCCTCATGTTCACAGCCAAAGCATGAAAATAATAAAATGGAAGCAGTGACTGAACAAAGATAAAATACAGAGAAATAACAGATTAAAGTCATGGCCACTGAATGTCTCGTGAAATGTTTTGAATAACGAAGTTGATGTTAAAATTTCAGAGCTTGTACATAAGTGACAAGCAGCTTGTGACACAGCCCATGCCACTGGGGGGTGAGGAGTTGTTTTTGTTTCCCATGGCCAGCCACGTCCCTAATTTCATTTTGTAGCATGGCAACATCACTGCTGCTCTTCCAGGCTTTGCTCCTAATGACAGAAGGATCCTGCAGCACATGTTTATCTCCAAGTCTCTGTTTGAGTCTCTGCAGGAGTTTAGGGCAAGGAGACAGGGAAAATGTGAGGCCAGGGATTACAGGAAAACTGAGCAAAAAGCCATTTTTCAAATGTTTTTCCATCCCTGACTGAGAGAAGCAAAGAGCCTCCAGCGAGTGCAGTAACACCTGGACAACTCACTTGATTAAAAACTGCAAATAAAAATGAAATAAATAAATAATAAAATTTTAAAAGGAGCAATTTCAATGCAATCTTCTATATGCACCCAAAACATCCCTGAGTTTTTACAAGAAAACTGGCTACAGATTGAGCCTGTTCCCAAAAAAATCAAATGACCCAACAACAGGACATGGAATTTCCTTGTTCCAAACTTATTCCCAGGTTGCTGGAACTTTACTCCTCATTTTCCCACACAAGTTTATTGGAAACATCATTTCTGCAAATGAACTTTAACCTAAAGAAAGGCCATCTGGTCCCTATTTATTTACAAACTCAACCCAAAGGCCTGTGCTGGGTTTCATGGATAATCCAGGACTTATCCTGAGGATAAATATTGCTGGAGATAGTTTTTTTTATGGAGGGGAATAAAGCTAAAAAAGAAAAGGAAAATAAAAGCCAGGCACATGTTCATGCTGAGCTTGTTGGGAGTCTCTCTCCAAACCATGACTGAAGCTAATGGATGTCTGGCATGTACTAATCACAGCAATATTCATAATTAATTTCTCTCCAGTCCACTGTGGGGCACTGCCAGCATTTATCCACTCCACGATGTCTTTTAAAATGAGAATGGAAGGTTCCTCATTGCCATCAGTGCAGCAAATCCAGTCTCCAGCTTTCACCCCTGGCACCACCACATAGAAAAATTGTTGTGCATCACTTGCAAATTGAATTAAAATGAAAAGTTCAATAGCCAGGCACTGTATATCATGGGCTCCTTTTGCAAAAACTGAACCAGGCAAAAAAACAGCACAAAAAGGCCTCTGAAAATACAATTTTGGTATGACTTGGAATATCTTTGCAGCATGACCTTCTTTGCTGAAAGGATTTTGGATTTGAAACAAAATTTTAGGAAAATCATCATTAAACCATTCTCAAGTAATAATAAATAGTATTCAGCTCATTATTGTGATTACATGACCACATCACCTTGAAACACACATGGAAAGCTTTCATGAATTCTGGGTTATTATGTTGAGAGTTGCTCAGTCAGCCCTCAGCAAATATTTGTTAATTTGGTGCCCGAGGAGCAGAAAGTTCCAAAGTGACCCAGGAACCACTGCTGCACACTCAGCTCTGCCTCTGACAGCCATGGCATAAATTCAGAAAAACTTCATATCTAAATTAAACCTGGGGTTAAGTGTTTGGTATGGCACAGAGCTGAATATTTAGGGCACTAGTTCAAGTCTGTGTTTACTTGACTCTGAAAACAAGTCCAGAATAAACTTTGGAGTGATCCAAGAAAGTACATTTTAAATGCAATCTTTGATTACATTTCTGAAAGTTGAATGTAACTCTCAAAGTGACCCCCAGAAGGACTCCAGCACCAATCCCATCACCTCTATCCTGTCCCCACACACTTCTAACATATTTGACATGCATAGGAACTTCTTTATCAATTATTTCTAGAAGAATCTTTCTGAATGTTATGAAGAATTTCCAGCTCCATGTTAAATACTCATTACTGAAAAAAGGCCAGGGAAAAATATGTGAGATTCATTTGGTTTTTATAAAATTATCAGACTGGGCAAACCCTGGACAAAACATCTCATTCCTGCATTTTGTGCTCTGGTTACACCCATCCATCAACAAAAATTTAAATGCTAACAAAAAAACCTCATTAAATATAAATGCATATGCCAAGAGGAAACAAAGCCATTAGGACAGAACAAAATGAGCACTGAAAGCAGAAATACGAGATTAAACCTTACAAAATTCAACAATTTACCAAGACAAAAGTGTTTCCTTCCCAGGTCTTGTTTAATATAAATATATTCCATATTTTATACAATATCAGGGTGTTCACAGAAATTAAATAACTGCCCAATCTTGCTGATAATGAAAGTAGTGATAGGAAAAAAGGGTATTTGCTCATTTTATCATTGTCCTTAGCTACAAAAAAACCTGTACAATGAGATCACCTATGTGAAATTAGGTCAGTATTTCCTGCAATAATTTATAGAACTGCTGAGAATTCTACAAAGTTGGCCCCACCCAAAAATAACAAAAAAAGCAATGCCAAAAATTACCCATCAAACAAAACTCCCAGAACCAAACCAATCACCCTTTAAAAAAACTGAAATTAGTACCAAATATTGGGAAAAAAGCAGTAACTGCTAAATATAACTCTGAGAACAAAAATACTCACTTTTGTAATTATTTAGAATATTTTTTTAATTTAAAAGGCCATGTAGAAATACTTAAGGCCATCATGGAACAGAACTTTCACAAGTTCCATTTCAATTTGCATACTGAGATTAAAAACTCCCTTTTTAGAGCAGCAAATACAATTGTATAAACACACACATGGCCCAGCTGCTTCCACAGCTGGCAAAACTCACCTTGTGACAAACTTCTGCTTTGATTTCCTTGAGAGCACGCTCAGAGAACACACAGCCACAGTTCCTCAGGAAGCAAAACCTGCCAACAAAAGACAACACAATAATTTTTGGGGAATTAAGAGAGATCTGTGCAGTGCTGGCAGGTCACAGCCCACCTTCTTTACAAGTTCTTGCACCTAATCAAATTATCAGCATAGTTAAGTGGGTAATTAATTTATTATTAATTTGCACAAAGTAAAAAATGAATGAAAAATACTGGCTACATTAAACCACAAGAGGTATTTTGGTTTTTTATCTTGAGTATCTCCTGGCTAATCCCTCTCTGGAGAAGAAATTCTTTGCAACCATTAGCTGTGAACTCCTCTTGTCATCCCTCAGGTGACACAGAAGTTGCTGCTCTGCCCCAACCAGGCTGTGAGGAAATCCCCTGCCCCAGAGCAGTAAAATACAGATTTACTGCAGGGCTGGGACAGAGAATCCATCTCCAGTCTGATCTGGCACAGGGAGAGACAGAATGTGAGCAAAGGCTGGGAAAGCTGGGATTGTTCAGAGGAGAAACTTTGGGGTGAGCTCAGTGTGGCCCTGCAGGGCCTGGAGGAGCTGCAGAAAGATGGAGAGAGAGTTTGGACAGGGATGGAGGGACAGCACACAGGGAATGGCTTCAGACAGCCAGGGGGCAGGGATGGATGGATACTGGGCAGGAATATCCTTGCCCAGAGCAGCTGGGGCTGCCCCTGGATCCCTGGCAGTGCCCAAGGCCAGGCTGGAGCCCTCTGGGACAGTGGAAGGTGTCCCTGCCATGGCAGGGGCGGCACTGGAGGAGCTTTAAGGTCCCTCCCAACCCAAATCAATCCATGACTCCAACTGCTTGATGTGACTCCAGGGGAGGTCACATCCCATCTCCTGTGCTTCAGCCCCCAACAACCTTTAGGCATTTTCCTCTGCCAACATTGCCCTTTCTCCTTCATTATACATCTCAATTCATTCAGGAAAAGGTGAACTTTTATCTTTCCTCTTAAATATACCATGAAAGGACACCCAGAAGCCTCTTGAACTCTGAAAGTTCAACCTTTAAAGCTGCCAGCTGTTGAAAGAGAAGGGAGACAACCCATCTTTGCTGATCAGCATCGACTCCGATTTATTGATCAAATCAGCCACCTTTTATAACAGTGTTAATTAACTTCATGCATATTGCAAAATTCGAGCTCACCATAGGTCAGAGATTACACATCAACCCCTCCTTTTGTTTTCAATACCAAGATTTGTGTTCTCAAAACTTACTTTTACTTTCCCAAAACAGCCAAAGATAGAATGTTCACCTGTTATGAGAAAACTGCCTGAGAACCCTGGTATGAAAGGTTCTCAAGGCCTTCATGTTTGTCACTTTTGCTTTCCCATACCTTATCCGAGGACAAGATATTTACTTGTTATTAAAAACAACCTGAGAACTTCTGCTGTTTACATAAACATGCCTGAGAACTCTTGTTGTTTACAGAAACAGGCTGTGAGAATTAGCTGCTTACAGCAGCCTTTTACTTTTCCATCAGCTGTATATTTTCATGGCCTTTTTCCTTCAAGCCATGTCTGAGCAAAAATCTCCAACAGCCAGCCAGGCAGATATTCCCCCCCAGCCCTGGTTAGCTCCTGGTTCCCATTCCCAGGCAGTTTCCCTGCTCTGAGTGCAGTTTGCAGAGCCCTGACCTGTGCCTGCCGTTCATCTCCAGCCCCACCACGGGGCAGATGAAGCGTGCAGCCTGCAGGTCGTCGTACTTGTCCCCCTTGATGCTCTCCTTGTCCCCACACCAGGCTGGGTTATCCACCAGCTGCAGCTCTGTCACGTTCTGCAAAGGAAAAACACAAACCTGCATCAGGAACAGGAGGGCACTGCTGGGGGCACAGCTGGAGTGCTGGGCCAGCTCTGGGCCCTCAGTCTGGGGAGGACATGGAGGGGCTGGAGAGGGGCTGGGAGCACAAACCCTCAGAGGAGCCCTGAGGGAGCTGGGGGTGCTCAGCCTGCAGGAAAGGAGACTCAGGGGTGTCCCCATCACTCTTTAAACCCCCCCTGAAAGGTGCCTGTGCTCAGCTGGGCTGGGCTCTTTCTCCAGGAACTGACACAACCAGAGGACACAGTGTCCAGCTGCCCAAGGGAAATACAGGCTGGATTTTAGAAAAAGGTTTTTTCCAGCAAGGTGATCAAGCTCTGGAATGTTCTGCCCAGGGAGGTGCTGGAGTCCCCATCCCTGGGGGTGTTTGACAAAGCCTGGATGTGGCACTGGGTGCCAGGGTTCAGTTGAGGTGCTGGGCCTGGGCTGGACTCGATGATCTTTACGATCTCCTCAACTTGGTCATTCAGGGAATTCTGTGAAACCTTCAGCTTTTTTCCTCATGATTTTTGAGCCACCCTTATAACAATCCCTAACATTTTTGCCATTGTGTTTTGTTGTTTGAACACTTTAATCTATAGTTACAGCAGGACTCATGAATTAACATTTTGTTTTGACTTCCCATGAAGTTAAACACAAGCTGTTTACCTTAATGCTCTTGATATGGGATGCAGATTCCATGGGGGTTTTATCAGGGGATTTGTCCAACAAATATTCAATGATGGCATCTTTGTTGTACAGCCTGCAACATAAAAATCCCAGTGGTTATATTGGGTTGCCACAGTGTTTTGTACTTATAATTTTATATTTATAACTTTCATTTATTCTATATTTTTATATTTAAGTAATTTTAATATATTAATATAATGCTATAATATATAATTAATATTTAATACATGACATTAAAATTAGTTTTAATATATCTGTATTAAATTGATATTATTTAATTTTGTATTTATAATTTTCTATCTATAAGTTTAATTATTCATCAACTTAAATTATTAATAAATTAAATTAAATTATATAATCGATTATATATTTCTCCATTTAATTATTTTTAATATGCTAATATAATGTTATAATGAAAAATATAATATACTACTATAATGTTACAATGCATTATATAATTAATATTTAATATACTACATTAAAATTGATTTTGATATATTTAAATTAACTTTATATTATTTAATTTTGCATTTAGAATTTATACTTAAAATTTTAATGGATTTTACATTTGCATATAAAATTACTTTAATATATTTTGATTAATTTTTACAGCATTATTTAACGTTGTATTTAGAATTTATAATTTTATTTTAAGTCCTGAGGAGTCCCTGGCACATTCCCACCTGCCCAGCTCACAGGCCACGATGGGCCGGCGCAGCTTCTCCTGGCTCAGGGCACAGTAGAACCACCTGGCCACCAACTCAGCAACTTTGTCAACCTGCAGGGAGAAAAACACTCATTAGTTAAAAAACTTGTAAATTATTTAAGCATAAAATCAGCTCATACGTGAAGCATTCATCAAATCCCAGCTTTCTCACCAAACCTGCTTTGTGCACTCAGAGTTAATTCATAAAATAACTTCAGCCAAAGATTTTGGCAAAATTCCTGATCAGTTCTCCAGCACCTCCTTGGGCAGTTCCAGTGTCTGACCCCCTTTCCATGGGGAAATTCCTGCTGTGCCCACCCTGAGCTGCCCTGGGGCCGTTCCCTCTGCTCCTGTCCCTGCTCCTGCTCCTGTCCCCTCCTGGCAGGGAATTGCAGAGAGGGAAAAGATCCCTGGGGATCCTCCTGTGCTCCAGGTGAGCCCCTTCCCACCCCTCAGCAATTCTCCATCCCCTTCCCACTCCTCAGGGATTCTCCATTCCCTTCCCAGACCCTCAGGAATTCTCCATTCCCTTCCCACTCCTCAGGGATTCTCCATTCCCTTCCCACTCCTCAGGAATTCTCCATTCCCTTCCCAGACCCTCAGGAATTCTCCATTCCCTTCCAGCTCCTCAGGAATTCTCCATTCCCTTCCCACTCTTCAGGAATTCTCCATTCCCTTCCCAGCTCCCTCAGGAATTCTCCATTCCCTTCCAGCTCCCTCAGGGATTCTCCATTCCCTCCCCACAGCACACAGGGCCCGCCCTGAGCCGCCCCCAGCGCCACACTAACACAGGGCCCCCGGGCCGGGCCTCCCCGTCCCCGCAGCCCCCCGGCCCTCACGGATATCCCCCCCCGGACCTTCTCGACTTTGCGGGGTCCCTTGACCAGCTCGTGCCGCTTGGGGATGGTGCCGCCATCGCATCCCATGGCGCTTCCGGGTTCTCCTTCCTCGCGCACTTCCGGTTACGCAGACCCATTTCCGGCGCATTCCAATGACGCTGTTGCCTAGCAACGATCACTTAGCGGCGCTATTGTTGCTTAGCAACGAGCGGCTGGGGGCGTGGCCATGGCTGTAGGGCGGGGCGGGACGGGCGAGCCCATCGCGCCGAGACCGGGGGCGTGCGGAACGTACCAACTCAGCGCGTGGGGGGAGGAGGGGGTGTTCCCAGCGCCCTTCCCGCCCCTTTTCCGCGGGTTTATCCTTTATTTTTATGAGGAAATCCCCCGGGACACCCATTTTGGGAGGATTTCCGGCCAAAGCGGGCGCTCCCGGGGCGGTGCGGGCTGGCGGGGGCGCTGAGGAGGCGCGTCCCGCCCTCAGCGCTGTCACCGCGGTACCGGAGCGAGTTTAACCCACAGGAATTCCCTGTGGGATGCGAGCGCTGCCCCGAGAGCGATGTCGCGATATAGTGACCCATGTCGGCGATAAATCACCCCGAAAACACGAGGGATACAAGGAGAACCGTGCTGAGGGGGCAGCGGGTCGTCGGGGCTGCTCACACCGTGATTGTCCCTTGTGAGGGCGGACACCCAGCAGCCGTAAAATAAATTAATTAGAACTACAGTGAGCGCGGGTGTAGCCCCGTGAGGCTGCAGTGTCTTTGTCACACCCTGAAATGTTCTTGTCCAGAAAATTAAGGGATAAAATTAAAAAGCTGTGCAGGCCGATGCTCTGAGGGCTGGGCTGGAGCCCCCAGCAGGGAACAACATCTCCTGTCCAGCTGCCCCAAGCCTCTGCGCCTTTAGTGATTATTTATTTAGAAATAAATGGGTTTTTCTCAGCTGGATGAGTGCTCTAAGCTCCAGGCTGTGACAGAGGATGGTGTGCTCCCTGGGAATTTATCAGAGTCAGGGCTTCTCCCAAAGTTTCCCTCTGTGCTCAGGTACCAGCCTGGTGCATTTCCTATTCACCAGATTTTGTACCGTGTTGCATTTGTTAAAACCACAAATTAGCTTTGCAACTGTTTAAAAAAAACAAACCCAAACAACCTTGTAATTAAAACCTTTGAGTAAAGTCCTCAGGAAACAATCGATATTGGGATAAGTTACAGAACATTGTGCAGCTACGTTTAAAGACAGACTTTACAGGAATAGAAAAAAACAATTGAAAAGGAAAATACATTTATCAGACATACATAGAGAACAAAAAAATAAGAAATCAGTCCAATAATCAACAGCTTTTGCTCCAATACACAGCAAACATTCCCACCTGGCCACTGTGACAATGACATTTCCAGGCAGGATGTGAACAGTGGAGAAGAAAGTGCAGATTTAATTCTGCATCAGCTGCTGTGGGGATCTTCAACTGCAGTGGCACCCAGGGAGCTCGTGGTGGGAATTCTGAATGGGGGGATGTTCACCTGCTACCAGGGAAATTCCTGGTGGGAATTCTGCTTGAGGGGATCTGCACCTGAACCAACACCCAGGGAATTCCTAGTGGGAATTCTGAGTGGGGAATCTCCATCTGCTACCAGGGTGTTCCTGGAGGGAATTCTGAGTGAGGGGATCTGTACCTGAACCAGGGAATTCCTGGTGAGAGTTCTGAGTGTGGGGATCTTCAACTGCTCCCAGGCAATTCCTGGTGGGAATTCCAAGTGGGGGAGATCTTCACCTCAACCAGCACTCAGGGAATTCCTGGAGGGAATTCTGAGTGGGGGAATCTTCACCTGAATCAGCACCCAGGGCATTCCTGGTAGGAATTCTGAGTGTAGGCATCTGCACCAGCACCCAGGGAGTTCCTGGTGGAGCTCAGAGTGGGGATGTTCACCAGAACCAGCACCCAGGGAGCTCCTGGTGGGAATTCTGAATGAGGGGATCCCACAGGTAGTCCCTGGTGGAGCTCAGGGTGGGGATGTTCACCAGAACCAGCACCCAGGGAGTCCCTGGTGGGAATTCTGAGTGTGGGGATCTTCAACAGAACCAGCACCCAGGGAGTCCCTGGTGGAACTCAGAGTGGGGATCTGCACCAGAACCAGCACCCAGGGAGTCCCTGGTGGAAATTCTGAGTGAGGGGATCTGCACCAGCACCCAGAGAGTTCCTGGAGGGAATTCAGAGTGGGGATCTGCACCAGAAGCAGCACCCAGGGAACTCCTAGTGGGAGTTCTGAGTGGGGAGATCTCCACCTGCTGCCAGGGAGTCCCTGGTGGAGCTCAGGGTGTTCCCCGGTGCCCAGGAGCAGCAGTGGCCCCTCAGTCCATCATGGCCCTGAACTGCTGCGTGTACTGGGCCAGCTGCTCGGCCTGCTCCCGCAGCTCCCGGCTGGCTTCGGCGTTGGGGAATTTCAGGGCGGCGCTTTTGGTGGCCAGGGCCAGGTTCTTGAGCAGGCTGCAGAAGCGGCTGCTGCTGTGCAGGATGTCGCTGCGGGCCTCCCTGTCCTGGCTCTCCTGGCACAGGGCATCCACCAGCCTCTGGCCCACCATGATGATGAGCTTGCTGTGGGAGATGAAGATTTCGGGGGGCTGCTGGCTGCTGAGGCTGGCGCTGAACACGCCCAGGGCCTTGTGCAGGGCGGCGAAGCACAGCCTGCAGTGCTCGGGGAGGGGCATTCTCCTGCCAGGCTCCTGCCTGCTGGCGTTTTCAGTCTTTTTTGAACATGGCAAGACCTGGAGAAAGAGTTAAAACAGGAAAATATTCAGCCTGGTGTCACACGCTGGTGGTTCTTTGGTTGCTCTACCCTGAATTTTTGTGGTCTCCAAATCGCCACACCCCGGAGCCTTTACAGTAATTTCTCTTTCCACAAAGTGTTGGAAATTCTCCTGATTGCTTTTTTCCCCTAAATACAGTTTTAATATTGGATAGCACACAAAGTGCTGCAGCTGAACATCAGTCCTTTACACAGTCTGGCCTTGAAGCTTTCAAATAATACAAAACATTGATCTTTAATGGACCTAATTGGGGTTATGAATGATTAAAATGCACAAAACAGGAGTCAGTTTAGTGCCAGTGCAGGATAAGGTACTTTGAAATACTGATTCTCACAGCCTTATCTCAAATGATGCTGAAAGGCAATAAAATAAACTGTATGACTTTAAACTGGAGTGGAAAATAAGTGCTCTTCACCGGTTTTCAGTGGTAATTCTGGGAAATGATCTCTGAGAAGCAGATAGGACTCTATGTGTAGAGATGCATGCCTGAATGCAAATTACTCTGAGTTTTAGCAAGCACAGAAATCAGAGACTAAAAGCCCTCATAAATAATATTTTCAAAGTCAGAAATACCTTTGAGTTTGACTCTGTACTCTTCTTTGCTACTTCTTTACCTGAAATGACTTTCTGTGCCTGTTGCAAATTAAAATGAAAGCAAAGTTGAAACAACTACATAAAGTATTTAAATATAAATGTGGTTTTCTCTTATTTCATGGGGAAACAATTACTTGCTCTGCAGCCTTCATGTTGCAAATAGAAATGGGGGATTTTTTAGAAGGAGCTGCAGGTTTTTTCCTCCTAAAAATGATCCTGCAAGATCTGAGACTGAAACCAACATCAACAAAACATTTCAGTGTAACATTCCCTAAATTTTAAGGACAAACAGCATTTCTTTGGGAAACTAAGGGAGATATTCTTAGTAGATACTTTAGTGATTCTGAGGAGATTCTTACAATCATCCAGAATTGTTCCAACAGATAATTCACAGAGTTTAATTTCTATGCAAATGAGATTTCCATCCAAGTTAGGAAGGAACATCTCTTGTCGTGCCAAACACAATGTAGTGGCAGGAAGAGAAAAAAGAGAAGTAAGGTATTGCTAACTTCCAATGAAACCTACTTCCCAAATGAATTCAAGCTGGCAAGAATGATAAAAATACTTGATTTCCTCTGTTGATTAAAATTACTGCTCATTGTACACGTGCCATCCAGCACTGTCCCAAAATCCTGGATCTTTGTAAATCTGGAAAGGGGGATGTAGTGCAAACTGAATGTGGCACTGCTAAGTAAAATAGTGCTGCTAGTGAACAGCCCAACATCTGCAAAGGGTGAGTAGTGAAGAGAGGAAACCCCGGTGCCACTGACCTGTAACTGGACATAATCACAATCCTCACTGCAGTTTTCCTCTGGTTTCTGCACAGGGACCTGGCTTTGGCTGGGTTTCTCAGGAGCATTTCTCTGCAGTGACTCAATTTCTACTCTTCTTGGCATTGGGATCTGTTTTGCCATTTTGCATTCCGGATTCACTTTTGGTTGCTTCTTTTCTTGCTCTTTCTCATTCCTCTTGAAGAGCAGTTTCCCATTGGCGATGATGATGGACACAAACCTCTTGATATCATCTGGAATTGTCCTGGCCACCATAACAAAGCGATCCAGGTCATCAGGGTTGCTCTGGGGCTTCCTGAGCACCAAAGCCTCCAGGGCCCAGCTGCAGCTGTTGAGAGCTTCCCTCGTTTCTGTCAATATTTTATAGGAGTTCATGAGGATTTCCAGCTGCTTTTTAATTCTGGCCTGCAGGTTGCTATCCGTGACGTTGGAGGCGTTTCCCTTCAGGGCTTGAGCAAAGGCCAGGAATTCTCCCAGTGACACCTTTATGTGGTCCACTGCTCTGTGGATCTCCTCCAGGTTTTTCTCCAGGTGCTCCTGCAACCTCCACTTGCTGCTCACAAAGATCATTAAACTGGCGACGGAGCTGGACACGCCGTGCTGCAGCCGGGTCAGGGTCTCGATGGCTGCTTCCAGCTCCAGTTTGATCTCTTGGACAGGCTCTGGTGATGGTGACAGCCTAGAAAACGACTCAGCAGAAGGGTTGGAGGATGAGGAGAGAGTGCTGCTTCTGCTGTCCACGCTAGAGACACACAAAGTGTCATTTTCCGACTTGGCATCCATGGAGAGCTGTGGAGAAGCACCGTGTGCTTGGTCACTGTTGTTTTCCATCTCTTTCTTGCAGTGCCCAGCACTGGGCAAACCTTTGGGAATATCATAAACGCTCTCCTCAGAGATCTGGCTGTCAGCCTTGGCAGCCAGGAGCCTCGGGGGCAGCTCAGAGCTGCCGTTGTGTGGCAGGAGGAGCGCGTCCCGTGAGGGTGGGACGTCGTACAGGGGGATTTCTGGAAGCGTTAATTTCCGCTGTGCTGGCGGTGGAATGTCGTACAGCTGTGGGTTCCCAGCCTTGGCTTCAGCTGGAGCCTTGTACCTGGCTGGGGGAATGTCATACAGCACCTGCTTCTCCCCAGCCTGCCCGGGAGGGCTGGGTTTGAATCCGGAATTTTCAGGGGATACTGGGATATCGTAAATCCATTCGGACTTCCGAGGGTTTGGCAAGGTGTTGTAATGGCCCCAGAACTTCCTCTGAGATTTATTTCCTGAGTCATCGAGCTCTCTTTTGGGAGGGACATCATATAACTGCAACAGAGCACAGAGGGTTCATAAGCCATCTTTATAAATGAGAATGAGAAGCAGAACTGAATTCTCAGAGCACACAAATGTGTGCAGCTCCACTGATGTCGATGGAACAGCACCACAGAAAGGCTGCCTGTATTTTTTATTTTCTAGCATGCACAAGCTGCATGTATAAAAGGTAAAGTATTTGGAGCACAGGTGATTAGATCCTACAGCAGAGTCCCCAGCCAGTGAAATCTGTAGACACTTGATTTTTCCCCCCTCACATGCACACCTTTTCAAGCAATAAATCACCAACAGACATAACTGAATATGCTCAAACACTAATAAATTTAATTTTTGCTTCATACAGATATTTGTGTGTACAGCTGGAGTCTACGCTGGGAAAGGGGCATTCAGGACCTTCTGTTGTGTAAGAAACAGTGGGGAAGAGATGGGAAACCTGTCCCTGCTCCAAGGCAGGAGTGACAGATTATTGTGTGCCCACCAAGCATTACTTACATTGCCTGCTGGTGAGTCCTGGCTGCCAGCTCCTCCTCTTTCTGCCTTGGATGGGGTCTTGTAAAGCTGCTTCTGCTCTGCCTGGAAGCTCTCAGTGGATCTGCCCAGCATGGAGCCCTTCCTTGTGCTGGGGGGAGTGGCACCACTCTGCTCAAAAGGAAAATAAATTGTTTATTTTAATCCTTTTAGAGCCCACTGGGGCCCTGAGTGGGATCAAAGGCTTTGGGCGAGACATGAGTGGGTTGGGTCTGAGCAAGGATCACCCAGGAAATCTGTGGATAATGATGGGCTCAAGCCTGCACTCCAACATTTATAGGTTTCCAAAAGTGACAGCGGGTTGGAGGGTGACAGTGCCACCTCTCCAATGACACTGGACAAACCAACAGTCTATCAGATTTTTCCTCCTCCATAAAAGAATGCAAAACAATGAGTTATTTACATAAAGTGTGTGAGAAAGTTCGTTACAAGAATGTAACCATCAGAAGGTTTAGAAAATCTTAAAAAATCAGGGTGACATGTGACATTCACTGAGCTCAGGGCAGTGGGACAGCAGCAGCAGGGACAGGATTGTGTAACAGGACACGTCACAGTGGTGTGACCAAATCCAGGGTGTGTTTTTCCCAGGAGGAGGATGGTGGGGTGACATTTAATTTCTTGTGGACGTGGGCTTGTGACTCTTCTCTGAACACTCCCAAATCACCCCCAGCAAATGACAGCACCACATTTCCTCATGGATTCCAAGGCAGAGAGGGAGACAGGTCAATTCTACTGTCACCCTATTTGCTTTCTGTAAAATTGGGAAGAAAATAATCTATTTTTAGCTCAAAACCTCAGTTCTCCTGAGTTTCTCAGAAATTTAGAGAGCAACGTGTCTTAAATCTGGTGCATTTCTAGTAAGCACTTCCATTTTTTCTATTATAATTCCAAGGCAGAGAGGGTGACACTACTGATGTCTTACTGAATTTTCTGTATCAGTGTCAACCCCTCTGCTTCAGAATCCATGGGGAAATGCCTTACTGACAGAAAAAATGGAAATATTTATTAGATATGCAGCAGACTTAAGACACATTGCTCTAAATATTTAAGAAACTCTGGAGAACTGAGGTTTTGAGCTAAAACCAGATGATTTTCTTCCCAATTTGGCAAAAAGCAAACAGGGTGACAGTAGAACTGAGCTGCAGATGTGCTCTGAGGTGCTCCAGGGTGGCAGCTGCAGGGAGGGAGGGGACAGGACTCACCTGTGGCAGGGGGGACCCTCGGTGCTGCGAGGAGGGGACATCGTACACCTCACCCCTGATGTTGGGGGCTGAGGCCCTGCAGGCTCTGGGCAGGGTAAGCAGGTGCTTGGAGGGGAGAAAAAATAGTAATAATAACAATATTAATAATATTAATAATAGTAGTATTTATTATTATTATTATTATTATTATTATTATTATTATTATTAAACAACTGCATCAGCAAGAAGCTTTGAAAAGTCATTCAGCTGAAAAATCCACTGATGTAATCCCAAAAATCCACTGTTGGAGTAATCACTCTTAAATGATAAAAACCTTCAGCTCTTCACTGAAAGTGAGAGACAGGAGCTGACCTCACAGGCAATAGCATGTTTATTCTCAAATAATTCTCCCTCACCAGCATTTCTGGTGCATTTTAGATAAGATCTGACCTGGCACAAAGACAATCTGCCTTACTAACCACAGGGCAGAAAAGATTTGGAGAAAATCCAGCTGCAGTTATCACTTAAAGCTTTAAACTGCCCAAAAGCAGAACCACTTAAAAAAGGAAGTGGGGAAATTTCGACTTCTCCAAGGCCACAGTCATTGGGTCAAGCCAATTTAATGTCAGAGCAGCAGAAAAGTGCAGGCTGAGCATTACTCTGTAGTTATGAACAAATGACTCATTTGGAAGGATTAAACCTTGATGTCCTGTCCGGCTCCATCAACAGGGAATTGTATCTTTGCAGTCAGATTGATTAAAACATAATTTGAGCAGCCATGACCAGATCTGTGGGACAATTTATGTCACAAAATATGAATGCTGGGTTAGGACTTTTCTTTAGATTTTAGATTTTTTAGATTTCTTTTAGATTTTTAGAATCAACCACCAAAAGATGGAATTTTGTTCATCCAGCCTGCCTTGAGCCTGGCTGCCCTCAGCAAAGCACTGACCTCCAGAAACACTGCTGGGGTGAGGTGTTACAGGAAATGTTAAACTGGTTTTGAACTGGAGGGAGTGATTCCCATCGTGCAAGTCCTGCAGCAGCTAAATGTGGGGGAAATATGGGAGAGGAGGAAGAGTGCAGCTTCACTCTGCCTGGTTCAGCTCTCATGTGGGAACAGGGAATGAGGAGTGAGCACAAATCCCCTGAGTGCTGTGATAGAGAATCACAGAGCCACAAAATGGTTTGGGTTGGGAGGGATCTGCAAGACCATCTCTTCCACCCCCTGCAAAGGACAGGGACACCTTCCACTATCCCAGGCTGCTCCAAACCCCCTCCAGTGTGGGCTGGAACTCCTCCAGGGATGGGGAATCCTGGGCAGCCTGTGCCTGAATTCGAGCATCTTCCTTACAATCAGAGGCACAACTTCCCTGAGTGAAAGGGTAAAAGGTAAAAACCATCCTTAGGCCAGGTCTGCTTCCAGATGGACAAATCTGACAATCCAGCAGAAAGGAAACTCACTGGATGTTACATGTTGGCACTTTTGGCCAGTCCTGTCAGTGGCAGTAGAACCAGAAGGTGCCCTGGGTGTGAGGCAGAAGCAAGGAGGTTTCTCTGTGGGGTGAAACACCCCGGCTCTGAGGGATTCATTCTTGTTTCACTGCTTTCACTCAGCTCCCCCAAAGACTCACAGTGGCTTTTCCCAGCTGCTCAGAGCACAGCTGAGTATGGCAGGAGCTTTGCCAGCTGTGCCACAGGATCTCTGTGGGATGGTCTGGATTGTTCTGTGCTCCCTGAGCTCCCCTGCCTTGGGGACAGCCCGTGACCACCGGGGTGCAGCTGGTGTGGGGACAGCTGGGACACTGTGCCACAGGCAGCCCCACTCTCAGCTTCTGGATAACCATCAAATGGGACATTTCTTTTTCATTCTTCATTCTTTTTCATTCTTCATTCTTTGTCATTCTCCATTCTTTTTCATTCTCCATTCTTTGTCATTCTCCATTCTTTGTCATTCTCCATTCTTTGTCATTCTCAGACAAGGCACAGCTTAGGTGGATAAACTCATGAAATGAGGCAGGGAGAGCCAAGGAGCTGCTCTGCCAGACCATTCATCCACATAATGAATAGATGACATTTTCCACCTGATTTGCTGGCACAACATGGAAAATGGATGCCAGTCTCTGATTCAGTTTGCCAGAGGCTCCTTGAGGGTCAGGAATGTGGGGAAATCAATGACAGCAAGTGCAGAGGAGTCTCGTGTAGCTGTACTCGGTTTGAGTTTGAGCTGTGGTTGTGCAGTGCAGCTGAAAAGGAGGTTCTGGTCACCAGGGATGCCCTGAGTTTGTTGTTTTCCAGCCCCCAGCTGGCACCCAGCAGGAAGCAGCAAGGAGGTTTCCATCACTGGCCTTCCCCACAGCAGGAGGCAAGGGGGCTCAATGAGCCCCATAAATCAAACCATCATTAAATCAGCCTAAAACACCATATAGCTGAACCTTCTTCCTTTTCCTTTCTCAATTAGCATTTCAAATGTGATTTCCATACACAGGATAAAGAGCCACCCAGGGCTGGAGAGCTCACAGAACTGAACAAAACCTCACACTCAAACTCTGTCCCCACCTGCTCTATTTCCCTTTCATTATGAAACATTCCCCACTCATTTTTTTCCTGAAGAAAGCACAAGGTTTTGATGGTAAAAACCAGTGAGATGTAATCAAATTGCATGTTCCATGTATGCTTGAAAGTCAAACTGAGAGAAAGAAGAGCCAGGCTATGGAGCTGTAATGAAACTCTGGAAAACCAGTTTGTTCTCCTCTGTAACTGGGGGAACTGGTGGCAGCTCTCCTCCTGTACACCTTGGTCAACATCTCAGCAGCAGCAATAAAGGGCTGGGAGAGAAACTGAGGGCACAGAGCAAAACTTTGTGTCCTTCTGTGTCTGGCAGGGGCTGCTGCTTGGTGCAAATGACAGCACAAAAGACAGGCAGCAGCATTCTGAGCTTGCTGAGCTGCTGGAGACAGTAAAACCCAGAGCAAACCCAGCAATCACACACCAAAGGGTGATTTTTTAAAAAATTATGAATCGTGTTCCTGTGCAGATGGATGTAAAGACTCCACATGTGCCCGGAGGGCTCTGGATGGCTGCTGGAGAAGGTTCTGTGTCTTGTTATTTTAACTTTGTAAATAATTTATAGATTCTCCCAAACAAATGGTATATTCTTTACTTCCTGCCCTGTTTTACAGCTGTTTCAAACTGTCAGAAAGGTGAGGGAGCACAGAATGTAGAGAATCTGTCACCCAGAGCAGCATTTCTCACCCCATGCTATAAACTGAGGGGTATTTCCTAAACACCATCCATTCTTCTGCTGCAAACTGCACTGAAAATCCCAGGTTTCCTTATTTCCGTGCCCCCAGCCATTGTTTTAACAAAACATCTGAGTTTTTCGAGCTCACCTGGTGTGTGGAGCGCTTGGTCCTCTCGCTGAGCATTCATAAATTGATGGGAATTTCCTAAACACTATCCATCCCTTAGCTGCAAACTCCACTGAAAATCTCAGGTTTCCTTATTCCCCCCTCCCAGCCATTATTTTAACACCAACACCTGGTTTTTGGGAGCTCACCTGGTGCGTGGAGTGCTTGGTCCTCTCGCTGAGCAGCTGTGCCGCCAGGGCTGGCACCTGGTACACGAGCTGGGGCTGGACCCAGCCCTCCATCTTCTCGTAGGTGGCCGAGGGCGCCGTGGGCACCGTGGGCATTGTTGGCACGGAGGGCACGGAGGGCACCTGGTAGATGCCGTGTGCGGCTGGCGGCTCCGGGCAGGGCGGCAGCAGCTGCAGGCGGTTGGCAGGGGCCAGCCCGTGGTGGCCGTGCAGGGAGCAGTGCCACCAGCCCTGGCTGCCCGCCACGTGCTGCTCCAGCACCGTCACGATGTCCCCTCTGCGGAACGCCAGCTCGTCCGAGCACTCCGCCTTGTTGTCGTAGAGCGCCTTGGCCAGGCTGTGCTGGGGACACGAGCACACCCACACTGTCACACTGTCACACTGTCATACCCATGCCAGGCCTCACTTCCACCCTGCTGTTCCCACCCTGCTGGGATCCTTTCCCCACCTGGGTCTCGGTTTGATTCACCCACCCCTCTGCACGTTGAACAGCTTCTCTCCAGCACTGAGCTGGAAAATCATCAAGCAGGGTCAGTGGAGCTCTTCAAAAGAGATTAGAAAGGAAATAAAACCCAAAAAACAAACCCTAAAGGTTTTCCAGCTAAGGCAGGGCTTAATTAAATTCCAACTTTCAGGACAGACCCTCCATACTGTGGAGCTGGAGAGCACATCTTTGCCATCACAGTTAAATGTGGCACTTTGTGGTTGCAGTAAGGCAGGAAAATCATCAAGAAAGGCTTCATAAAATCAGGCTGCTCTGGCTGGCCTGTTTTTCCTCTAAGACAAGCTGGCACTGTGCAAGTTCCCATGTAAAACAATCCTGGTATGAGCTGTTTGTTAACATAACAATCTATTCCTGGGTGAAAAGCAAACAGTTTTCACACCATTAGATAGAGAAATGAAAACTATCCCTCACAAACAACTTTTCCTGCATGTCCACACTGGGGTTTGAGTGACCAATCAATACAGGATAACAACTTGTTAATGACCAATAAAATAATTAACAAGCAAGCTCCTGATCAATTGGGAGTCCCACACCAGGTCTGTAAAACTGTATAAAAAGGAGTTATGTGAATAAAGAATGGGCTTGTTCCACCTTGAAGAAAATGGAGTCCGTGTGATTTATTCCCATACTTTGTGTCTGCTATGGTCAGTGCAATAAAGAAATAGATAATAAAATTACTGTGATACGTTTCTTCATCACCTTTTCCTGCTTGAGGCCTTTAAAGAGCACTGCTAATCATTATTTAGATTTATTATATTAGACTTACATATATTGAATTTGTAAGCTAAAACACAAGAAGCTCCACCTCAAAATGAGGAAGAACCTCTTTCCATGAGAGCCCTGGAACAGCTGCCCAGGGAGGGTGTGGATCTGCCTCTCTGGAGACACCCAAATCCACCTGGGTGGGTGCATTCCTGCCTTGTCACCCTGCCTTGGGGCTGGGGCTGGACTCGGTGATCTCCAGAGGTCCTTTTCAACCCTAATGGCTTATACAAAAAACAGGGATCTATTCTGTGATCCCTATATGAAAAATAGGGATCTGTTCTGTGATCCCTATATGAAAAACAGGGATCTAGTCTGTGATCCCTATAGAAAAAAATAGGGATCTATTCTGTGATCCCTATATGAAAACTAGGGATCTGTTCTGTGATCCCTATATGAAAAACAGGGATCTATTCTGTGATCCCTATATAAAAACCAGGGATCTGTTCTGTGATCCCTACATGAAAAACAGGGATCTAGTCTGTGATCCCTATATGAAAAATAGGCATTTTTCCCATTGTCTGTGAATTCTTCATCTCATAATTACTCATTACAAGATCACAGAATCATGGAATGATTTGGGTGGGAAGGGACATTAAATAACATCCCATCCCACCCCTGCCATGGCAGGGACACCTTCCACTGTCCCAGGGTGCTCCAAGCCCTGTCCAGCCTTCCAGGGATGGGGCAGCCAGAGCCAGCAGGTAGCTTCAGTCACCTGAGGCTTTTTTGCAAAGGGTAGAGAAAGCTGTGGATGTCATTTTTTAGGTTTTTTTCAGTACAAGATAGATACTGCTTTTAGCTTTAAAATGGACTGTCTGCTCCCAGGTCAGTGGGACACTGGCTGTGCCTCAGCATGAATTCCTTATCAGAAAGTGCAAGTAATGTCCAGAGAGATAGCACCCAAATAGGAAACGTGATGCCCTGTATTTTTGTGCAGAGCATTTGCTGTGAGGCAGCAGCTGGCCTGAGGCTGCAGCACAAGAACTCAAATGTGTCAGCTCAGCTGGCGACCAGGGCCCGCTGTTGGCTGCAGGCATTTCCTGAACAATGGCTTTTTGTGGGACGGGGCAGCTGCCAGGGGGGACAGCAGCCCCCTTGGCCTCCTGCTCCAGCCTGGCTCGTGCCTGGAACATGGGAGTCACTTTGGATGGGGACAATGCCAAATGTTGGAGTCAGGAATCCCCCCTGGGCCAGGCTGGGGCTCCACACTGACAAAAAAATGGAGAACAGCCAACTTTTCATGTTATCCATAAACACTGCTGGCTCCTTGGGCTGGGTGCTGCACAACCACACTCCTGAGGGACAGGTCCTCTCAAAAAAAGGAGAACAGCCAACTTTTCCTGTTATCCTTCAACACTGCTGGCTCCTTGGGCTGGGTACTGCACAGACACACTCCTGAGGGACAGACCCTCTTCTTCTGCCCCTTTTCCACATGAAGAGCCTCATCCAGGCACACACAGGAAAAGGGTGAAGGGCCAGCAAGGCTGGGCTCAGGGTGTGAGCCTGGAGGGGCACACACAGCAAGGCTGGGCTCAGTCTGAGCCTGGCTGGGCACACACAGCAAGGCTGGGCTCAGGGTGTGAGCCTTGGTGGGCACACACAGCAAGGTTGCCCTTCCTACGTGCACCCACACAGCTGAGAGAAACCTTTGGTTCACACTGTGGTTTTAGAAGGCATCTAAATATTGACATTTCCCTTTTCCTGTGGAAACAGCACCCTCAAGATGCTGCTGAGCCTCATTTTATAACCAGAGACCCAAACCTTTCCATCAGAGGGGTCCCTGCTGGAGGCACAGCACACAATCCTTTGGCTTGGCCAATGAAGATGTGCAGATATTTATATTTGGGCCAGCAGCCCCCAGCCCGAGCCAGGCTGAGGCTGAACACTGTGGCTCAGATTTTGCATTTCTGGAGCTGACATCTGTGATCAACACAAACCCAGGACCTCTAGAATCATCCCAAATCAAGCCAAGCAGGAGATTATTAATGAATCAATTAAATCATAGGGCACTCTGGGAGACCTGACCTGGCTATAAAACAGATCTGTTCATGGATCATCTCATATCCCATCCAGAGAGATGGGAGGGAAAAATGAAAACTTTGACCAGAGAAGTGATGGAGACAAACCCTAAACTCCGGTCTGTAGAACATGACTGAACTGAGATTGTCAGACCATGCACAGGCGGGGTCAGTGGAGCTCTCAAAAAGAAGAGATTAGAAAGGAAATTAAACCCAAAAAACAAACCCTAAAGGTTTTCCAGCTAAGGCAGGGCTTAATTAAATTAAATTCCAAGTTTCAGGACAAACCCTCAATACTGTGGATCTGGAGAGCACATCTTTGCCATCCCCCGTCGTATTTCAGTATTTCAGCAAAATGTACAGTATTTCAGCAAGGTGCAGAGTATGTCAGCAAGGAATAGAGTGTGTCAGGAAGGTGCAGAGCATTTCAGGAAGGTGCAGAGCGTTTCAGCAGCCCAGCAGCAGCTCAGGGGGTGGGTGCTCGCTGCCCCTGTGCCTGCAGGGCCACGGTCGGGGTTCTCTGCAGGGCTGTGGGCAGAGCCCGGCCCTGCCTGCTCCCCCAGCTCCCCGGGGGTCTGTGAGGGATCCCCCTGTGAGCACCACATCCCTGCCCTGCCCTGGCTCCAAACAAGGGCTGCATTCCCAGACCCCGAGCCCTCGGGATGCTCAGGGAGCAGGGGCTGTGCTGGGCCACTGGGAGCTGCATTTCCCTGATACCCAGCACTGATACCCTGGTATCCCTGATATCTGGCTGTGCAGCGTTCTCTGGTGCTTTGTGTGTTGTGTCCTTAAATACCCAACGTGTAAAAAGCACTAAAGCAGCCCAGGTGAGGTCCAAGTGATTTTCCTTCTTTGCTTGCTGCCTCATCCCCATCGGCAGCCTTGCAAAACCTCTCCTAAGACAGAGAACATCAAAAAGCCCCACAAAAAGCACCTTGAGAGGCAGTGCTGGCGCTCTGCTCTCACTGGGTGGGTTTACACAAGCTGGAAAAGACCAAAGAGTGTCCCCTGCAGCCCCTGCCGAGGCACTGGGACCCCAGAGCCCACAGGGCAAGGCAGGCGGGTCCCACACTGGGGGAGTGACAGTGCAGGTCCTGGAACAGCTTCACCCCAAAAGTTCTCATCCTGCTGCAAGTGCATCTCCTTATTGGATTGTGGCTCAGATGTGGACAGGGTAATTCCCCTCCAAACTGGACTGGTCTCATCTTTGTTGTTTGCAGATCCTTGCCCAGCCCTGGCAGCCCCTGGGAGCAGTAGGGATGAAAGCTGCTCCCTCATGTTTATTAATGGAGAAACTGTAATTAAGGGCAGTAAAGCTGATCAGTGCCCAGGTCTATAATGTAAAATTTTATACCCTCAGAGTGACATCTGTGCTCTGTGTACACAATAGATATTTATGCTAAGGATGGAACGTCCCACTGTTACTAAAATCTCCTGGTGCCTCTCCTATCCCAAGCCTGATCTTCATGCAACAGAGAAAAAATATCATTATTAAATATATAAAAACATTGCTAGAAAAATCCAAGTGGACACAGTGATGTTCAGCACGTGAGAATTTCAGCATCTTCACCACAAGCCTCACAAAATTATTTCTCTATGCCCCCATCCCACTCAGTTTGTATTTGGAAATCTCAATTTGCTACCCTGTATTATTCCATGTGAATGGGTACTGCACTATTTCACAGCATTTCAGATAAAAAATATATTTTTCATTTACTATCTTCAATTTGCTTCTTAAAAACCCCTGTTGAGATCATGTACATAAACTGGGAGTTTATTCTCTATAAACTGAGAACAAACTCCCACTTTAATCCTGGGAGTTTTTGTGGATTGAAATATTTCTCATGTTGCACATCAATATATGAGTGAGCTCTTTTACTGCAGGAAAGTGGGACTTAAAATATTTGAGGAGGAAGAGATAGAGGGCTGTGTTTGCTAAACAGTTCTGCTCATCCATCAGAGACACCTCTGACATGTTTACAGAGCAGCTTCCAGTTAATCTCTTCACCTCCCAGCAAAGCTGCAGAAATAAACATCCCCCAGCATCCCTGAGCTGGGAACAGCCTTCCCTGAGAATTCCCTGTGAACCCCAGACCACTCTGAGTCACTGAAGTTTTGCTCAGCTAATTGTAGAGGGTTCACATCAACATCCACAGGAAAAGAGGAAAATTTACCTTAAAAGCTCAGATCATTCTCCACCTGCATGTGCAGCATTTCCTGTGACCTGCAGAAAGTCCTTCTGCATTTCTTTGCTTTGTTTGTGTGTTTTGGAAAAGAAATGTTCAGCTCATGCAGAAGTTTTGTGTGAGCTTCGAGGAGGGATGAACATCAGGACTTGCTTTTGTTGCTTTTATTGATTTTGTGGGGGTGGAAGCAGGTGTTGATCACAGGTTTTGAATTTTAAATTTGATCAAATACAGAAGCAGCACTTAAAAAAACGAAGCTTACAAATCCTGCAGCTTCACACGGCACTGCTGCAGAGGTGGGAATTACAAGCTGCAGTTCTGCTAATTTCCCCCGAACTCTCTTTTCTCCACAAATGAAGTCATTCAAATTCTGTGTGTGTTAAAATCACAAGAAGGGGAAAGTGCAGCCAGGATTTCACCCCACTCAGAGCATTTTTACAGGAGTGCTCTCATGCCCAAGCTCAAGGGAGAATAAACTGCCCATTCCAGGGGTGTGGGTCCTCAAACCTTTCTTTTTCCCATTTACACCCAATCACTTCAGGGTTTTTAAATTTTTTTAAACCTTTTAGTATCTTAACTACACCTCACTACATTTATTTCTAGATGTGGCTTTGCAGATACAGAAAGTCCTGATGTTACAAGTGTCCTCCCCATAGCAGGGTCCTCACCCTCCTGTGAATCAGGCAAAACATCCCCAGGGAAGCTCAGCAGGAGCAAATGGACATTTTTCATTGAAAAATAGAAATTTTCAGGAATCCCTGCTGCTGGAGGTGCCAGGCTGCTGTCCCTGCATGCTGTGCCCTTTTTCCCTGCTGTGGCAGCAGTGGGGAGCTGAGGGCAGGGTGGGGAATTCTGATCCACCCAGAAGCAGCAGCAGCACAACTCCCACAGCTGCATCTTCCTGGCTGCACTGAGCAGCCCCCAAAATCTTGTTCTCACCCCCAAAATCTTGTCCTCACCCCCAAAATCTTGTCCTCACCCCCAAATTCTTGTCCTGACCCTGCCCTCTGCCCAGCCCTGCAAGGGTCGTGTTTGTGAGATGAGTGAGATGCACTGAATAAACGGAGGAGTGGATGGTTTCTGAGTGGGTACCGCTGAAGTTGTCACGTTTCTCCGGGCAGAGGGGGTTTGCAGCTGGGCTAATCCCCGGTGAGAGTGCCCAGGTCCGGGCAGCAGCTGGGCTCTGCTCCCTGGCTGTCATTAGCAGGGGACACACGGTGACAGCCCAGCCCTGCCTGCCTGCCCAGCTGAGCCACCCCTGTCACAGCCCCAGCCCTGCTCTGCACAAAGCCCAGGCACAAACGGCTGCAGAATGGGTTTGATCCATCACTCATCCCCCCCCACACCAGGAGAAAAGAGTATTTCCCAAAAATGAGTATTTCCCAAAAAGGAGTATTTCCCAAAAATGAGCGCTGCTTTCCTCCCCTGCAGGATGTGGCCAGTCCTCACCCTCGAGTGCAAAGGCTTTCCCAGGCTCACAGAGCTCAGACTGAAATTACTTGGCTTTTTCCTCATCACACAGTGACCTCAATTCTTGAGACATTTCCATTACCCATTTTCTAGGAGTCAATGCAAAACCATCATCTCTTTTGAGGTAAAGCACTGCTCAACTCTTAACTTCGTTTTTTTTTCCCCAAGAAAATGTGGAAGTGACCAGTCTGAGTCACTCCTGATCATTTCTAATAAACTTGTCATTACTCAATGCACACAGAGCAAACCCTCACTCTCCTCTGCCACGCTGGTGCTCTTGAGAAACGGTTAATTTGGGTTATATTTTAAAAATTCAGTTAGTGATGTGCAAATCAGCTGAACACACACACACACTGCAAAGAGACCCCGCCAGATGCAGATTTTACCCTCTGCCCACTACAAATGGAATCAGGAAAGTCACTGAATCAACTGCAGCAGAAAGAAAAGAGCCCAGAACTCACACTGACCTTCATTTTGCTGTGTGTCCCTGTTAGTCCATCACCTGAGGAGGAGGAGGAGGAGGATGAGGAGGATGAGGAGGATGAGGAGGAGGAGGATGAGGAGGAGGATGAGGAGGATGAGGAGGATGAGGAGGATGAGGAGGAGGATGAGGATGAGGAGGATGAGGAGGAGGAGGAGGAGGAGGATGAGGATGAGGAGGATGAGGAGGAGGATGAGGATGAGGAGGAGGAGGAGGAGGAGGAGGAGGAGGATGAGGATGAGGAGGATGAGGAGGAGGATGAGGAGGAGGAGGAGGAGGAGGATGAGGAGGATGAGGAGGATGAGGAGGATGAGGAGGATGAGGAGGATGTCCCAGCCCTGCCGGCGGCTCAGGCAGCTCTGCAGGCTCTGCCTGGGAGCCGGGGGAGGCAAAGCTCAGCCTCTGCCTCCTCCTGCTCTGGGAGCCCCAGGACAGCAGCGCTGGCAATGGGGGGAGCTCATTACGTGGCAGAATTGTCTGCAGGCAGCTCTGGCTGCAGCTGGTGATGTGCAGGACACACAGAGCCCTGCAGGGAGAGCCTGCCCTGCTCTAACACAAAACCCGGGCTGCACCACGAAAAGGGCTGCATTGGGAAGCGTTTTTCTGCAGCGTTTTTTACTCCTGGTTTGTTGTGTTTTGCTTTTTGTTTGTTTGTTTAGGTTTTTAAATTTATTTTTTTTTTAACTTCAAAGTGCTGTGAGTTTTGATACACTTCTAATCAGTCTTTAGAAAACTGAACAGATCCCCTTGGTGGTTATAAATCCCCTGCAAAACCACCTCCCCCTGCAGAGGCAGAAAAGCCAAGGAGGAAAGCTCAACATGACCTGCAGCTGAAGGGCTTTCTTTCTTAGACTATTTTAAAAAAATCCTTGAATATTATTAAGGTATAATGTTATTTAAAATTATTACTGGTTGCTATTTGCTTGGCAGCAGCTGAGTCCTGGTCATGCTGGTGCACAGGTTTTACCACTTTGGACTCAGGATATCTTGAGGGTTGGCAAATTTTTACTGGTTTTGCCTTTGTACACGTTGGCTTTTCTCTGGTAAAAGCCTCTTCCTTCCTCTTTCCACAGTAGCTTCAAGATTAAATTAGACATTGGCTCCCAAAGCCACAATCCTGCAGCTAGAAAAGACTTTAATATCTTGAATAGAAAATGCTGAATTGAAAACCTTCATCAACCAAATCTATACCTCTGGGGTGGGAGCTGCTGTCCAGAGGAGAAAGAATTCCTGGCACAAACCAGCCCGTTTCAATGCCTTTGTGGTTTTTCTCTTCTTTCTTTTTTATTTTTTAAACACCAGGAGCAGCAGCTTGAGCCCTTCAGACGCCTCATGCAGCTGATCAGGAGCCGTTCATTTGCTGCCCTGGAGTTTCTCAGGTGCTCCAGCATTTGAAGTGATGGGGTGGTATCAGTTACAAACCCACAGCTTGTGGCCACAGAACTGCTTTAAAATACGATTAAATGTTCCCATGAATGAACCCCAGAGGGAATTCCTGCTATGCAGACACCTCCCACTGTCCCAGGGGGCTCCAGACTGGCCTTGGGCACTGCCAGGGATCCAGGGGCTGCTCTGGGCACCTGTGCCAGGGCTCAGCACCCTCATAGGGATTTTTCCCTAATATCCCACCTAAACCTATTCTCTGTCAGTTTGAAGCCATTCCCTGTTTGCTGTTCCTTGTCAATCCTCTTTCCTGCAGCTCCTTCAGGCCCCGCAAGGCCACCCTGAGCTCACCCCAGAGCTTCTCCTGTGCAGGTGAGCAATGCCAGCTCTGCTCCATCCCTCTGCCCACCCTGGAGCCTCCTCTGGGCCCTCCCCAGCAGCCCCAGCTCCCCCCAGGTGCCAGGGCTGGGCAGGGGAGCTCCCTCTGACCTGGGCACGGAGTCTCTGTCACCCCCACGAGTATGGATTCATGGATGAGGAGGGGAGATGTGAATGGGGCATTTTAGGGGAGAGAAAAACTCCAGATCCGCTTGGAGCACGTCCAAGGACTCTCCCGTTTTCCCTCGGCCAAAGCTGTGGCCCTGCAGGAGCTCGGAGGGGTTTGAGGTTGCAGCAAGGGCTGCGAGGCTTCCTGTGCTGGCCCTGGAGACGCGACAACAACAACCAAACAAAACAACAGCCCTGCTGAACTCACCCCGAGCTCCTCACAGGGGCTTTCCCCTGCAGGTGCAATAGCTGGGGCACAGGGATCATTGCAGAGCATTTCCTGTCACAGCCACGCTGCTGACACTTCAGGGAGTCCAGAGAGAAATAAAAAAACCCTTTGTATTTTTATATCATTCAAGTATTATAATAAACATACTGCCAGGGTGGTAGGGGACTTATAAAGAGTTCGTCAATGATGTTGCAGAAATAATTTTGGTGGTTTATTACTCAGCTGAAGTTGACTGGGTGCACTCTGGCCATGTCTACAATGCTCACAGCAGAACAGGCGATCAGTTTGCTACCATTACATTGGTTTATTGACAATCCACTCAAGAGAACTGGAAATATATGTAAAAATAGAAAATTGTTCTATATAGGTATGAAAAATACCCTGCCTCAGTTACTGATGACTCAATGTGAAAAGTTGCCCCCTAATCTTTACAAGCCTTGATGGAAAATTTGGAGTGTAAAAAAAAATGACTCATTGAGCTCCTACTAAGCTTTTTCCCCCACCACATTTTGTATTAAATTTCCAGGAGGCAGTTTGTTTGCAGTAAACACTGAGATCATAATCCACAATGAAAATCCTAATTCCAGTCACTTATTGTGCTTGCAGAGAGCAGGACAGCAAGGCATTGACTCTGAATCAAGATTTCAGCATTCTCCAACCCTTACAGCTGCAGCAGGGCCTCTGATCTACAGAGAATTAATCTAGATGGAATGTGGATACAGAAATAAATGCAACAAACCTTATACACTGGGTCCTGTCTTTCAAAATAGGAACACAGAGTGTTTCAAAATGTTTTCTGGTTTGCATGTAACAGAAAGAAATTCTGTCATGCAAGAGGGCACCAGGGCTGGCAGAGAAAGGATCCGTGTCTCCGATGTCACTGCAGCACAGCAGTAAGGTGCAACCTTGACTTTGTATCTTTATAATTTCAAAATGTGTTTATTTCCAGCTCAATTCTGCTTTATCCAGCATCCTCACCAAGATCATGTTCCTCCCAGTCAGTGATTTTGTCACCATGAAAAGCACAGGGGGACATCAGGTACAGGAGCCTTCTGTCTCCCCAAGATGAGGAATCCAAAAACTTCACAGAGCCACAGAATGAGGCTTGCAGAGACCTCTGAGACCTCTGAGTGCCAGCTGTGCCCATCCCCACCCTGTGCCAGCCCAGAGCCCTGAGTGCCACCTCCAGGAGTTCCTGGGGCACCTCCAGGATGGGCACTGAACCCTCCTGGGCATTTCCAGTGTCTGACCCCCTTTCCATGGGGAAATTCCTGCTGTGCCCACCCTGAGCTGCCCTGGGGCCGTTCCCTCTGCTCCTGTCCCTGTTCCTGCTCCTGTCCCCTCCTGGCAGGGAATTGCAGAGAGGGAAAAGATCCCTGGGGATCCCCCTGTGCTCCAGGTGAGCCCCTTCCCACCCCTCAGCAATTCTCCATTCCCTTCCCACTCCTCAGGGATTCTCCATTCCCTTCCCACTCCTCAGGGATTCTCCGTTCCCTTCCCACTCCTCAGGAATTCTCCATTCCCTTCCCAGTTCCCTCAGGAATTCTCCATTCCCTTCCCAGCCCCTCAGGAATTCTCCATTCCCTTCCAGCTCCTCAGGGATTCTCCATTCCCTTCCCACTCCTCAGGAATTCTCCATTCCCTCCCAGCTCCATTCCCTGCCCTGGACAGCTCCAGCCCCTCAGTGTCTCTCTGGCCATGAAGAGCCAGACCTGGAGGGATCTCATCGCTGCCACTCCAACATCACCAAGAATCCCACTGAATTCAACCACCAAACCCTTCCCTACCCAAAACCCAGCCCTACCTTTGCAGGTGTGCTGCTCCTGGGGATTTTATCCATGGTTGTCATTGTGCGCCTGGAGCAGCACAGAGAACCAGAGGAACCAGAGGGATGGGGACCCTCGAGCCGTGCCCGTGTGGGGATCTCCCCTCAGCCAAGTGCATCTGGCAGCTCTGCCCTAGCAGCACTCGCAGCCTGCAGACAAGCTGCTCATGTGTGATAGATAATATCTGAGACAGCAGAGGTGAAAGGAGGGCAGAGTGAAACCCAAGAAAAGCCCTTTTGGCGACTGGAGTAAGAAAGCGCCGCGTCAAGCGGGATTTTCCTCGGTCTTCCTGCAGCAGCTTGTCGCAGTTGAGCAGTGGGAAGTGTGAGCCCTCTGCCCCTGCTCCTGTTTCCTCTTTTGCAGCAGTGAGAGCAGGGCTGTGGCACAGCGAGGAGCTGCACTGCCCTGATAAGGCAGCCCTGCCTCAGGGCCAGCAGGGCAGGATTCCACTGCAGCTCCTCCGGCTTTCCAGGCAGTCTCAGCTCTCAGCATGAGCAGCAGGAGTGTCAGGAATTCCAGGCAGCTCCAGAGTCGCACAGGGAAAGGTGTTCCCAGAGTCAGGGAATGCTTTGGCTTGGAAGGGGCTCAGGGACCACCTCATTCAATGGGCAGGGACACCTTCCAGCAGAGCAGGCTGTGCCGAGCCCATCCAGCCCGGCCATGCGCACTGAATTTCACCCTGGGGTTTTCTCCCTCAACAGGATTAGTTGTTTCTCCCAGCCCTTCTTTCTCCAACAACCTCGTGGCCTCAGGAGGATGTGCAGGATATGGAAAGGCAGCAAAGTGCCAAGGCCAGGATGGTTTTGTGTTGAAGAAGTGACTTTTTGCTCTTGCCCTGTGAGTTCAAGCCCCCAGAGCTACGGAAGCTTGAGGTGAGAGCTCCCCCAGTTCACAGCCACAGCGGTGTTTCAACACATGAACCACAAAAAGAGGGTGGTAAAAGCAGATTCCAAACACCACTAACAAGTGCATGAATTACAGACAGGTGCTTTAGCAGAATTAAAAAGAAGGTGGCACTCCAAAAAGTAAAAAAGCCACTGCTGTCACCCATCCCACATCACGCCTCAGTGACTGTGCCAGGACTTCCCTTTCCCTGCCCCCAGCTCTGCCTCTCCTGGTTTCCCCACCAAAAAGGCACCAGCACCACCAACCCTCAGCACCACTGCCCCTGAAGGGTGAGGACACAGAGGCACAGGAGGAGCAAAGAGGATCCAGCCTCAGAAATGTTCTGCACAGAGGGAGCTTCTCAAGAGAAAATTAAATTTCATTATTTAAATAAAAATCTCCCACATTCTACATCTCAAGTCTGTAATTGTACCTGATACAGGTGGAACACAACAAATGCATCATTCCCAAGCCCCAGCCTCCCATATTTGACCATTTCTCCTTTGTTTTACAGAAAACAAATACAATTCCTTCTTTATGTATCAAAGAGCTTTTTAAAAGGCAATCTTTATTTAAATACAGACAAAAGCTGTACCCTCACCAGCCCTTGACAATTCCTCAGTGTAATAATGGAAGTTAATCCAGCAGCAAGAACCACCTCAATTTCAAAACCCTCACCAAGGCAAGTGCTGAGCTCTGACCCAAGGAGCCTCCCAGCTGTGATGCCCAGGAGCTCTGCACGAGGAGGCCTCAAAAAACAAATTTAAGGCTCTGCTCAGGCAGATCTCTGGGAGAATAAGTAGTGAATTTTCCAACTTGGAGAAGTTTTAAGCACAGTTTCTCAACAATGGGCACTGGGTTTGTGACTAATTAAAAAAGAATGTCATTGAAGTGCTGTGTAAGACATAGATGAAGATTTCTCAGTCAAATGAAACAGTGACATTTCTGAGGTACACATACAAAAATTCAGATGCACAGGTTTCTTTCTTTGAGAGGATATTAAAGGTCTCTAAGGCAAAATTATTTTCACTTGCAGCAGCACTGTCACATTTGAATTGCAATGTGGATATTCCTTAAAACTATTAGGAATTCACTTTGAGGTCCCACTTGTTAAGATAAATTCAGAAGAGGACGAGATGAAGTCTGACTTTAACACGAGAACTAGAAGACCATTTCTTGAATTCATCTAAACAATTGAAAATCCTGTTAGAATTCTTATGGCACAACTCAGAACCGCAGGCCTACTCGGCCAAGAAACAAAAAACACAAAAGAATTCACCAAAACCCCAGACTGAAGGATACAAACCAGAGCTTTACAAATAATGAATTGTGGCTGAAGGCAGCTTAAGGCTTTGTTAAAGTTTCTACACCAAGTTCTGCTGCTCTTTGTGTGATCTCTTCTCTGCCAGAGTTCAGAGGGATTGCACAGACACAACACAGAGCAGAACCGGCTCCTTCTGAGCAGGACACAGTCCCATTATCACGTGTGTGATTCCAGGCAGGGGAACAAGCTTAGCCCTTCCTGCCAGGATCATTTCATCCTCCACCCCCTCCCTTCAGTACAATTAGAGATGACTTACAAAAAATTAAACCACGCACACTAATAAAAAATTTAGCGTGGGGTGCAAAGTCTCAATATTCGCAATTTTCCTGCCAGGTGTGACAGAATGCCAGCGGCCCAGCCCTGCAGAGCCGCCTCAGTCCGTGGTGGATCTCCGGTACCAGAACCTGGCCCGGTAGTCGTCGCTGCAGGTCATGAAGCCGGGGTTGGTGGGCGAGTGCACGATGCAGCGCACGATGCTGTTGTGGCCCAGCGACAGCAGGTTCCTGCGCTCGGCCGTGCGCGAGTCCCAGCAGCACAGGCTGATGGTCCTCTCGTCGGGCAGCAGCACGTAGTCCTCCGTGTGGTTGAACACAGCCTGAGTCCTGTGCACCTGGCGCCCGCTCAGACCTGCACCTGCGCACACGGCACAACGGGGTTAGGAGCTGTCATACGTGTGTGTCACAGGCGTGTTCTATACACACACAGCACAACGGGGGTTAGGAGCTGTCATACGTGTGTGTCACAGGCGTGTTCTATACACACACAGCACAACGGGGGTTAGGAGCTGTCATACATGTGTGTCACAGGCGTGTTCTATACACACACAGCACAACGGGGGTTAGGAGCTTTCATACATGTGTCATGAATTTATTTTATACACACACAGCACAACGGGGGTTAGGAGCTTTCATACATGTGTGTCACAGGCGTGTTCTATACACACACAGCACAACGGGGGTTAGGAGCTGTCATACATGTGTGTCACAGGCGTGTTCTATACACACACAGCACAACGGGGGTTAGGAGCTGTCATACATGTGTGTCACAGGCGTGTTCTATACACACACAGCACAACGGGGGTTAGGAGCTTTCATACATGTGTGTCACAGGCGTGTTTTATACACACACAACACAACGGGGGTTAGGAGCTTTCATACATGTGTGTCACAGACGTGTTTTATACACACAGCACAACGGGGTTAGATTTCATACATGTGTGTCACAGGCATGTTTTATACACACACGGCACAATGGGGGCATGAGGAGTTTCCATACATGTGTCATGGATGTATTTTATACACACACAGCACAATGGGGGTTAGGAGCTGTCATACATGTGTGTCACAGACATGTTCTATACACACACAGCACAATGGGGGTTAGGAGATTTCATACATGTGTGTCACAGACGTGTTCTATACACACACAGCACAACGGGGGGTTAGGAGCTTTCATACATGTGTGTCACAGGCATGTTTTATACACACACAGCACAACAGGGGCGTTAGGAGTTTTCATAGCTAAGTGTCACGGATGTATTTTATGAAAAATCCTTTCTCCTAAGAAGCTGAGAGAAGAAATGAATGCAGAAATGAAACAAACAATGACGATCTGCTCCTGTGGAATGCAACAGGTGCATCTGTGATTGGTCTCATGTGGTTGTTTCTAATTAATGGCCAATCACAGTCCAGCTGTGTCAAACTCTCTGGTCAGTCACAAGATTTTATTATTCCTTTCTATTCCTTGCTAGCCTTCTGATGAAATCCTTTCTTCTATTCTTTTACTATAGTTTTAACACATAAGTTTCTTTTAATATAATACATAATTTTCTTTTAATATAATATATATCATAAAATAATAAACCAGCCTTCTGAAACACAGAGTCAAGATTCTCATCTCTTCCCTCGTCCTGGGACCCCTGTGAACACCACCACATCTCTGAGTCATTTTCCCTAAGCATCAATTTTCTATCAATTTTCTCTGCTATTCTACTACTTCCACAAGCAACAGGTGGTGCAATAACAAATATTCTTTTGTAGTTGTATCACAGGACCAGAAAGATTTGAGTCCAGCCTGTGCCCCATCCCCACCTTATCACCAGAGCACTGAGTGCCACCTCCAGGTGTTCCCTGGACACCTCCAAACCTCCCTGGGCAGCCCCTGACCACCCTTTCCATGGGGAAATTCCTCTGCTGCCCGTGTATAGATGCTAAAATTCCTTAGAGGACAGAAGGAATACCTTCTCCAGCTGTGCCATGTCCAATCCTTTACCTAGGAGTATTTCTGCCTGATATTTCCGCATGAGGCTTTCAGCTGTGACCAAGGAGAGGAGAACCCAGAGAGCCTGACAATCCTTGAGGACCTTTCGGTGCGTTTCTCACACAGCACAGGCAGTATGAGCTGCCTTGGCCATGCCCTCAGATAAAGAGTGCTTCCCACAGACCCTCCCGGGATCCTGCAGGGTTTCCCGGGAAGGTGCTGCTCCCTGCTGGCTGCTCCCAGCAGAGCTGACTGCAAACCCCAAAAGCTGACACACACCATTTCCATTTCCAGCATCTTTTGTGCTCCTATTGCTTAAACACATCAGTGCTTGACCCCAAAGCTTCTCACACAGCTGCTGTCACATGCAAAGCTTCCACAGCCTTCATTATTCCCTAAATCCTGCTGAATCCAAGCATGGCACTGTCAGAGTACCTTACACACAACTGCATCCCTGGGGAAAAATACACAAAAAAGGGAACAAACCAGCTGCAGGTACATTTCAGAGCACTGCCATGGCTACAGAGCCACAGAGTTAATGATTACATCAACTGCCCTGAAGTAGCTTCAGTGTTTCTTCTTATTTTTCCCCAATTCAGTGATAACTTCCCTCCAGAACAATGCAGTGAGTAATGATGTCAGAAAATTCTCCAAAATCTACTCAGACTAAAATATTTGTACACTGATACAAAGAAGCTTCAAGCTTCTCTTCTGGAATTGGTCTAATGGAAATGTTTTCAAAAATCCTGGGCAATTTATGCTCAAAGCAGCAGTTTCTCCACTGCCTTTAGGAATTATTATTTTCTGACAGTATTTCCAGCCCTGCCACAGCTCAGCACCTGGAAAAGAAAGTGTCTGGAAGGTCACCTGCCACATACCTGTGTATTTCACCAGCGTCCGCCCGGTGGATATCTCCCAGAGCTTAGCCACAGAGTCTTTCCCACTGGACAAAATATACTTGGAATTTTTGGAAAAAATAGCAGAACAGACTTCAGCTCCATCATGTGCCTTCTCAAAGGTGGTGATGCAGCGGTTGGAGACCCCATCCCAGAGTTTGATGCAGCCATCCTTGCTGCCTGTCACGTACATGTTGGCGCTGGCGTTGTAGTTGACGGAGCAGATGGCGTCCGTGTGCTGGTCCTGGGGGTTGCAGGACACGAAGCACTGGAAGGTGTTGATGTCGTACAGACGAAGGGTTGGGTGCTGGGTTCCCACCAGGATGAAATCCCCAGAAGGGTGGAAAGAAATGGAGCGTAACATCTCTGCTTCCTGGGGGGTTACAAACACACGGCGGGGTGAGGAGGGGAAAAAGCTCAGCTGGAAGGGTTGGTGCTGATAAAGTGCTAAAAAACCTACTGGAATTATCAGCACAAAATGGAAAATGTTTCCTGTGGGATTGAAATGACAGGCTGCATTGTTTTTGTCCTAGAGCAGCCTGCAGTGCCTCCTTATTTTAGGATATCATCCCCCCCCAAGCCCACCATCTAACCCCAAATATTCGTCCAAATCAAAGTAACAGAACTGACTTCCAAGTCAATTCAGATTAGAGTTGGTCTAATGAATAAAAAGCTGGCAGGTTCTATTCTTAAATACAAGTGTCCATGACGCACAGAATTGAGACACCATCTCTGTAAGGTCTGCAAATGCTGTGCCTGTGAGCTCCTGCACCCCTGATCACCTGAGGCACAGCTCAGCCCACACCACCTCGGCACTCAGACATCTGAGCCGTGCCTGCTCTGAGCAGTGTCTCACCTGGATGTACTTGAAGGCTCTTTTGGCAGAAGGCTTTGAATAATCAAACAATTTCAGTGTGTAGTCCCTTGAGCCAGAAGCCAGGATCTGTTCTGTTGGGTGGAAAGCCAAACACGTCACCTCATCCACGTGATCGTACAGAGTCCGGATCACCGGGTGGTTCTCCATGTTCTGCTGGGCTGTCTCATTCATCATCACCTACAAACAACATTCAACAGGTTGCTGCTCTTGGAAAATAAAGCAGGTTTCTGACAGGAAAAGTAGGTTTTAGGCTTGCCAGAGTGGCTGAACAGCAGCTCCTCTCTGACACAACCAGGCACACAATCTGTTCCCTTGGTTATCTGAAGGCCCTTTATAGGTCAACAAATAAGATCCCTGTGTCTTTATGAAGGTCAAAACAACTTGGCTCAAGGACAAACTACTTCAGTAGCAGACAACTGGTGCAAGAAAACATCACCTTCATAAACAGCCCAAAGCAAAACACTGACTGCTGAGAAGAATCAAGAGAAGCTGCACCAAACCTGCAGCTCTCTGCTGAGAATCTGGTGTGTGCTCTGTGCAAAAAAATCCCACTTTTCATTGCCACCTGATAACTGCCTTGGAAAAACATAAAGCAAAGCAATGTGTGAAACAGTTCTGAAATACCCAGAGAAAACACAGGTGGCCAGGGGGCTGCAAGGCCACAGGTGGGTTTAACATGAACTGTGCTCAGACATCACAGCCACAATCAGCACCCAGCAGAAGCCACTCCTGGCTCAGCTCTCTCCCTGCTGCCAGGGGTGACACCAGTGTCCTTGCCCTGGTTCTTCCTCCTTCAAAGGGACTTTATGAGCAGCTGCTGAAGTAGGGAATATGCTGAGACAGGTATTTAGTCCAACCCACTGAGGCAGCCACAAGGTACAGATATGAAATGGAGAGAACTCCCAGAGTGGTTACAATCGATTATCCCAGTGGGCATGGCATGGATGGGATTCAAATTGATTACAATTCATTATCCCAATAGGCATGGCATGGGCAGGATTCTCAGAGTGATGACAATCCATTATTCCAGTGGGCATAGCACGAACAGGATTTCAATTGATTACAACTCATTATTTCAATGGCCATGGCATGGATGTGATTCCCAGCGTGGTACAACCCCTCACCTCAATGGGCATGGCACAGACACAATTCCCACCTGGTACAAGCCCTCACCTCGATGGGCATGGCACACACACAATTCCCACCTGGTACAACCCCTCACCTCAATGGGCATGGCACAGACACAATTCCCAGCCTGGTACAACCCCTCACCTCGATGGGCATGGCACAGACACAATTCCCACCTGGTACAAGCCCTCACCTCGATGGGCATGGCGCTCTTGGCCAGCATCCTCTCGGTGTCCAGGATTTTGATGGAGGCGTCGGCCGAGCCCGTGGCTATCAGCTGCCCGTCTCTGCTGTAGGTGGCCACGCGGCAGGGTCCCTTGTGGGATGTCACATAGCAGGTCTCGTACTCGGAGGCCTCGGGGGACATGGTCTGCACGTCAGCATCGAACTCCAGGTCGATGCCGGTGCCCGGCGCCACGGTGTCCGAGCGGCCGATGGCATACTGCACGGCACTGTCATCGTTCTCCATGCCTGGGGACAGCAGGGTGGCACTCAGCACTGCTCCTCAGAGCCTGCCACGCTCCTGGGAAAGGCAGCCCTGGGGGGAGAGCTGAGCTGGCAGAGCGGGTTTGGTCCCACAGCTCTGGGGAGGAGTGAGGGACAGCTGGGCTGGAGCTGGCACAGCTCCTCAGGAGCTCTGGGAGTGCCCCAGTGAGGACTGGGAAAGGCTGATAAATGATCTGGGAATACCCCAGTGAGGACTGGGAAAGGCTGATCAATGCTCTGGGAATACCCCAGTGACGATTGGGAAAGGATGATCAATGCTCTGGGAGTACCCCAGTGAGGACTGGGAAAGGCTGATCAATGCTCTGGGAATACCCCAGTGACGATTGGGAAAGGCTGATCAATGCTCTGGGAGTGCCCCAGTGAGGACTGGGAAAGGCTGATCAATGCTCTGGGAATACCCCAGTGACGATTGGGAAAGGCTGATCAATGCTCTGGGAATACCCCAGTGACGACTGGGAAAGGCTGATCAATGCTCTGGGAATACCCCAGTGACGATTGGGAAAGGCTGATCAATGCTCTGGGAATACTCCAGTGACGATTGGGAAAGGCTGATCAATGCTCTGGGAATACCCCAGTGAGGACTGGGAAAGGCTGATCAATGCTCTGGGAATACCCCAGTAAGGACTGGGAAGTGCTGATCAATGCTCTGGAATTCCCCCAGTGAGGACTGGGAATGATCAATGCTCTGGGAATACCCCAGTGAGGAGTAGGAAGGGCTGATCAACCAATGCTCTGGGAATTTATCAGATTGGGAAGTGCTGATAAATGCACTGACAATCAGTCACAGCCCTGTGGTCACAGAGGAGCAACAAGCCCCAACACTGTTACATGAGTTTTAAAGTATAAAACCCAAAGTATTTACTGATTCTTTTCCTATTTAATTACTCTGAAGCCAAACTATCCCTGCACTGTAAGGGAAAAGCCTGCTGGTCTCCAAGCCCACTTCCCAGACAATTATCTTTATTTCCAGGATGCAGCTGCAGACCAGAGAGTTCAGCACTGGGAGAGGCAACAGGGCAGACACAGGAGTTTTCAGTCCAGTGGTGATCTTTTTGCTGCTTTCAAGTCTAGAATTTGCATTTCAAACAGACACAAAGCTTCACAGATTTGTACCCTCAGAACTCAGCTAGTTCAGGCAGCAGAACCAGTTGAGTTACACACGGTGTCATGGCCAGAGCTCTTCCAGGACTTGGCCAGCTTCTTCCAACAGCAGCTCAGGGGTTTCCCTGCTATCCCCACACTGTGGCACTTCCAGAGGGAAGCACAGGGAGAGAACAGGTGACAGCCCTGCTGAGACCCCAGAGTGTGCAGCTGTCTCCTGGGGACTGATCTATAAAAGCCAGCAAAGATTGCCAATGGAAGGACTTGCTCCCTCTCCAACACTGTCAGGAACAGCCAGATTGGAATTATTTCTTTCTGAAGTCAGCAGAACTGTGAGGGTGTGATCTTCCCTCAGATCTGGCGGTCAGTGATCCCATTCACTGGGGTGTTCTGCCACTCCCCCAGAACCCTGAGTGTCCTAAGAGGAGGCCAAACAGATTTGGGCAGCACTCAGGGATCTGGTTTGTTGGTAATGAAACAGGAATGCCCTTCAAACCCCACAGAGGCAAAGGCTGTACCAGATGTACAAGTGCTGTGCTATTACCAGACACCACCTTTGCATCAAAGGTGTCTTTGCAGTAACACCAACCTCTTAACTCACTGGGGAATTAGAAACTAGACTTTTATGTCAGCTTTTGATTCCAGCTTACCTAACTTAATTAGGTGCAGCAGTTGTTCAGAGGGTGCACACACAGACTGTGGTTTGATCTCATTTATCAAGCCATTGGCAATGTTGATGTATCCATCATAAAGCAGCTGGCTAATTATCAGTTTGTAAAGTTGCTGGCGGTCTTTCAAACTGACTTTTGTCCTATACATTGTGAGCAGGGACTGCCTTGGGGGGGCCTGGAATGAAGAACAGAAATCACATACAAGAGAGTTGCATGAAACCACCAGAACCTTGGAACAAACCTCAGGGCAGGCACTAAATACTGCTGTGGTTTTGGTGGAGAGCAGAGATGGGGAAAGAAAAGCAAGGGGAAAGAGGAGGAAAAAGGGAGAGAAAGAAGAGGAAAGGGTGAAGAAAAGGTGGGAGAAAGGGAAGGAAAAGGGAGAAGGGGGAGGAAGAGGCAGGAGGAAAGGGAAGAAAAGGACAGGAAAAGAACGGAGACAGGGGAGGAAGACAGGGAAGAACGGGGAAGAAGAGAGGGGAGAAAAGAGGAAAAAGAGAGAGGAGAAAAGAAAGGAAAACGAGAGGAAAAGGGGGAGGTAAGAGGGAGGAAAAGAGGGGGGGAAAGGGAAGGAAAAGGGGAGGAAAAACCTGTTGCGCTTGTTCTCTGTGTCAATGCAAACCTGGCCCACACAGCGAGGCGGGCCGTGCCGAGCGGAGCAGAGGCGGCAGCATGTGCCAGCGGAGCCGCCGGTGCTGCCGGCGGGCCCGGGCTCCGATGGATGGATGCACGGGGCGCGCAGCACAGCACAGCACAGCCCGGCGCCGCGCCGGCCCCGCCGCCCGCCCCGCGCCCTCCCCGCCCTCCCGCCGGCGCGGAGGGGCCGCGGCCCCGCGCGGGCGGTGCCGGAGCCGCGGGCGGGCGGCCCCGGCGGTGCCGGTACGTACCGAGCCTTCCTTCTGCCGCCCGCGCTCTGCCCCTAAGATGGCGGCGGGAGCGCGGAGCGCATCGAGCGGCGGCGGCGGCAGCGGCGGGGGCGGCCGGGCCCGCAGGACGCTCCTCCGCGAAGGCTGCTGCATCGAGCGCCCGCACATCGATGGGAGGCGGCTCTTGGGGGGGGCGACACAACGGGGCGGCGTCACGTGAGCGCCACACCCCCCGCGTCACGTGCGGGAGGCGGGAGCCCCCCGCGGTGGGGGACGGGGGGGAGACCGCGGGGACCCCGGTCCCGTTTTGGGGACCCCCGACCCCGCTTTGGGGGCCTCGATCCCGTTTTGGGGACCCCCATCCCCGACCCCGCTTCGGGGAACACGATCCCGTTTTGGGGACCACCATTCCCGACCTCGCTCCGGGGACCCCCATCCTCAACCCCGCTCCAGGGACCCCGACGCCGCTTTGGGGACCCCCATCCCCAACCCCACTTTGGGGGGCCTCGATCCCCGTTCCCGCTCTGGGGGTCCCGATCCCCGACCCCGCTTTGTGGACCCCGATCCCTATTCCGCCCCCCTCGCCGCGCTGGCGATCCCGGGGTCCTTCTCGCCGTTCCCCCTTCCGGGGGTCCTGGGGGCCCCTCTCGCCATTTCGCCCCTTCCGGGGGTCCCTTCTCTCCATTCCGGCCCCTGCGGGGGTCCCGCTCCCCATTCTCCTTTCCAGGGATCCCGGGGGTCGCTCTCCCCATTCCTCCCCTTCCGGGGATCCCGAGGGTCCATCCCGTTCCCCTTCCGGGGGCAGCGGGGCCCTAGCGGAGGCCGCAGAGCCGCGCTCGGGGCGGGATCGCGGGCGGGGGAGCGGCGCTGGCCCGGCCCCCAGCGGGCGCGGGGGGAGCCCGGGGCTTCTTTTGTGTCGCAGCCGCAAAGCTCCGGAGCGCCGCTTCCGCCAGACCCCGGATCCCAAACACGGCGACGTGAACGGGCTGGGAATGAAGCGGCTGGCGCTGCTGCCCGGCCCGGCCCCGTCCCCAGCGCAAACCGTCCCCTCCCCGAGTGCTACTCACGTCAGCCTCGAGAAAGGGCAGCCGGAGCGGGCGCGGGTCGAGCAGCGGGGCTGCCATGCTCCCCATGCCCCGGGGCAGCTGTCGTCTGTCACACGCTGCAGCGACACGGCGACCCGACATCTTCTTTTTACCTATCCTGAACCACTTGTAAACACCAACACACACAACCAGGCTCTCCTTCGCTCTTGTTTTCAGCACCGCGGAGACACTGAAAAGTTCCCTTGGATCGCAGTTCTTCGCAAGCCCCGAGCGCCGGCTGGAGTTTCCTCGCTCCGCAGCGCCTCGCGGGGACCCGCGGGCTCCGGGCTGGCAGCGCCTCACGCCGCGCTCGCTGCGCTGCTCGCGGGCCGCGTTCGCTGACCGGCCACGCTCCCGCTGTCCCGGCGTCCCCTCGGGAGCCGCGCGGCTCTGGGCGCTGCCGGGGGCTGCGGTGCGAGGGGTCCGGCCCGGGCGGTGCCTTGGCGCTTGGCGCTCGGCCCGCAGCGCTGGCGGCACGTGGCGCTGCCCGGGGCGGCTCGGCCGGGACGCACCGGGAGGCTCCGGCCCTGCTCGGCCCGTCCGGGGGGGCACCCACACAATGGCCCCGCTCGCGCTCGGCCCCACGCGCGGTGGCAGCAGCGCCGCTCCCCGGCCTGGCCCGGGGGTGGACGGGGGTGTCTCGGGGGGAGTCTGGCGGCAGCGGGACTGACCTGGCAGCGCTCCCGGGCGCGGAGCGGAGCGGAGGCGGCGGCGGCCACAGGTGGGAGCGCGGCGCGTTACGCGATTTGCGTAGCGGAAGCGGCGGCTCGGCCGGCGGGAAGTGCGCGGGCGGCGCGCGCCGGGGGGCGCGGCGCTACGCAAACTGCGTAACGCGCCGCGCGGCGACAACGCCGGCGGAGGGGCGGGCGCGGCGCGTGCGCCCCTCGCGGCGCGGCGGAGCGCGTCCGGCAGCCAATGGGCGGGCGGGCCGCCCCCGGGATGAGCCAATCAGCGCGCGCGGGCCGCGGGAGCGCGGCCAATGGCGGGCGGCGGGGGTTTAAAGGGGTATTTAAGGCGCGGCAGTTTGAATTCAAACAGCTCCGGCGGCCCTGAGGCGGCGGCGGCTCCGCGGGAGCGTGGGGCGGGCAGGGGGGATCGGTCCCGGCCCGCTGTCGGTAACGAGTGGTCATCGATAAGGGACCCGGATTCCCTGTGCTCCGCTCACCGAGCCCCTCTCGCCCTCAGCCCGAGCCGCACGGGCCGCTCCCGCTCTGGCGCTATGGACAGGAACATGAAGGAGAACCACGCCGCGTACTCAGGCCGCGCTGCCAAGGTGAGGTGTGAAATACGCGGTTTGTGTGCCTCTGCCTGAGTAGCTTCCTCTGCTGCATCCTTTTTCTCTATGCCTGGGAGTTTGCCATTAAAATTCTGGTCTGTTCAAGGGCTGGTCTTTAGTTTTTACTTTTTGGGTTTGTTTCTCCCTGTTTCATATTAATTACAGGTTTCAAACTAGTAATTTGTCTTTCAGTAGCTTTCACCTAGAGAAAACAACCCATAGCTGATTTTTAAAAACTACTGTTAATGTTAGCATATCTTATTACATGGGGAAATCCTCTTTATATTATAAGTATTTAAGAGCCCTTAAAGAGAAAGTGCATGTGTATAATCAAATTGTTTTAGATAGAGTTTCTAAAAGCAAGCACTGTGCAAACGTTACTATGGATACACATGTGCAGCAGTGCTCAAGATCACCCTGATTATTGTCTTTTTTTCCATTTAGAAATACAGACACTGTCTGACTAGTTTATATAAAACCAAATAGGCCTGGTAAGTTTTTGGAATAGCATAAGCAAAATTTCCTTTTAATTAACTACTCAATGCATGTTTTTTAGCGTTTCTGTTGAAGTGCTTCTGTGTGGTTTTGCCATCCTGAGTGGGACTGTGAAGGTTCTGCTGTGCTGCTGCACAATTAACACGTTCTCCTTTCTCTCTGAAGGTCGCCAATCCCATCGGGGATGCCCCCAAGCGTGTCCCCGTGTCACAGCCCTCAGCCCAGAGCCGCTCACTCACCAGTGGAGCTCCAGCCCGAGTTCTGTGTCCTGCAAACTTCGCCCAGCGAGTCCCAGTGCAGCCCCAAAAACCTGCACTGACAGCCTTAAAACCACCCAGCAACAAAACAGCGCAGCAGCCCCGGCCCAAAGCGCCCCAGCAGGCCACTGTGAGACCTCAGGCTGCCAGCAAGAGCAGTGAGAAACCTCCCCAGGCTGCAGCACCTGGTAATTGTGAGGGTGATTTCCCTGTGAGCCCAGCTGTGACACTCAGGATGCTCCTAAAGCTGCTGCTGATCCAGGGATGGTCCTGGAGCGAAGTTCTTTGTTGTGCCCCCAAACAGAAGAGCAGCACATGGTTCACCTTGGGTGTTGCTGCACCATCCTTGTGAATTTATCTCTGAATTAACCAATTAGAGACAATATAGTGTTAAAAACTTCCAGGTGCTCAGCAGCCAGCTGGGTGTTAATGTAATTTGTGTTGAGACCTCACAAATTTTCCAAGATTCATGCACAAGGATACTTTTGTTTGGGGAGGGGAAAGAATTAATGGGTTTTTATGCTCAGAAAGCCTTTTAAGTTGCATTTTGCCAGGGCTGTTTGTTTCCCAGCAGTCAGCTGTGCTAGGTTGCTTAAATTGTCATGGAAAGGATTCTAAAAGCTGCTCCGGATGATGCTCAGGGGTTAGATGTGTTCCCATGGGTCTGGTTCATGAATTGATTTCCTTCTCTGTACACAGCACAGAATCCTGAAGCAGAAAACACCTCAAAACAGAAAACTGAAGAGACCAAGAAGAAAAGTGAAGAGACTAAAAAGTAAGTTCTGTGCCTAACCTCTAGATAACAGAGCCCTGCTTGAGCTCCTTTGCTCTGGAGCCTGGTGACCCCCACACTGTGCAGGCACACACAAGGAAAGCAGCCTTTGACCTGGTAATTGCCAGGAGCAAGGACTTGCTGTAATCTAAAGAAAACTTTGGGCTAAATGCAGAGTAGCTCGTCCCAGGAGAGAGCACTGATAGCTCTGCCCCAGTCACGAGATGTGCTCCTGAAAACAAAACCTCCTTCATCTGGGCAGGAGGCTGCAGGCTAATTTGGGATGAAGCCGGGTTTGTTTATGGCAACTTCAGGTTGTTTTGCCATGCCCTGGTGATGTGTCTGGGTTAGGAGTATCTAAGGAGCCCAGCTTGGTAAACAGTCTTCATTTTGTTCTAGTGTGGTTGGTGCAGTGTCTGCAGAAGCCTCAGGAGGGAAGAAAATAGCTTTTGGAACTTCCTTTTGAAATCTCAATGCCTTCATTCTCTTGGTGTTTTCATAAAGACTAAAATCTAGTTTAGAGCACTCAACATCTCTTGAACAGGAATGTTATAAACTGTAAATTGGAGTCAAAGCCAACACAACTCCAGCTTTTAACTTTCCTCTTGCAGAAGGCAATGGTCCCTTGATGATTTTGAAATTGGTCGTCCTCTGGGGAAAGGAAAATTTGGGAATGTGTACCTGGCACGTGAAAAACAGAGCAAATTCATTCTTGCACTGAAAGTGCTCTTTAAAACACAGCTTGAGGAGGCTGGTGTGGAGCATCAGCTGCGAAGAGAAGTGGAAATACAGTCTCACCTTAGGTAAGGTTTAGTGGCTATTCACTCTGCTTTGTTTGCATGCCAATAAACAAAGTAACCTTCATTATGATAAGATTTCTTTATGATAAAATTTTGTGTGTTGTGAACTGAAGGAACATGGATGAGCTGAAATTCCATGCTTTCCTTGGAAGTGGGGGGAGCAGGACAGGGAAATTAAAGGTTTTGGACAAACACTGGATTCAGAAGAACACTGAACTCTCTTTGCAGGCACCCCAACATTCTCAGATTGTATGGCTACTTCCATGATGTGACAAGAGTCTACCTGATCCTGGAGCATGCACCTCGTGGGGAGGTCTACAGGGAGCTCCAGAGGCTCACCAAGTTTGATGAGCAAAGAACTGCTACTGTAGGTTGTTCCAACTTCCTCTCCATTCCTCTTGTGTCTGGGATCTCTGCAGGACAGAGCCAGCCCTTCAGTTCTGGGGGAACTGAGATTCCTTAGCTGCTGGTTGGCATCTGGGCAGGGAATGACTGGGGAGACGTAGGGCTGTGCAGGAATTTATGTTCAGAATTGTTTAATATTGCAAGGCACAGCCTGGATTGCCAGGCTTCAAGGGTTAAGGAATAATTGCTTTAAGTTAAAATTATAATTATGCCTGCTGCAGCCAGATAACTCAAGTGAGAGTATCTTAAAGATTGTGGCTTAAAGGTTGTTCTTTCTGCACCCAGTACATCACAGAACTGGCAGATGCCCTCTCGTACTGTCACTCCAAGCGTGTGATCCACAGGGACATCAAGCCAGAGAACTTGCTGCTGGGATCCAATGGAGAGTTAAAAATTGCTGACTTTGGGTGGTCTGTGCATGCTCCATCCTCTAGGTGAGAATTCAGTCTCTTGTGCACTGAAATCCTTCTGTAGAGTCAGTTTTGTCACACAGCTGTGGAAGGGAGGTTCATGGGAGCTTCTGGAAATCCTGGGGAATGCTGCTGTGACAAAGGGCCTGACAGGCACCTGGTGTGACAGAGGGTTGTTGTCCTGGGTTTTAGTTCAAACCTTGCTGACCCTCAGAGGAATGTTGGTGTACCTGCACTTGGACTCAAACATTATTGTGGCAATTTGGTTATTTCTGAGACAGTGGGAAATTGCACCTGAGAAGGGAGGAACAGGTTTGTTCTAGCACGTGGGGTGAAGAAAGGAGCTGGGACTGACTGATTGCAGGGACTGAGTTACTTTCAGAAGTAGAAAATGCCCTGCTGGCTTTTCTTTCCCAGCTGTTCTGGGTGGTGCTGAGGTACAGATTATTACCAGCATTACTTCTTATCTGGCTCTTGAAATATATCCTTTAATTATCTTAATCAATAATTAACTTGGACTTTTCTTCAGGAGAACAACTCTCTGTGGAACACTTGACTACCTACCTCCTGAAATGATTGAGGGAAGAACACATGATGAAAAGGTGGATATTTGGAGCCTGGGAGTTCTGTGCTATGAGTTCCTTGTAGGGAAACCACCTTTTGAAACAAAAACCTATCAAGAAACCTACAGAGCTATTTCAAGGGTAAGTGCCAGTGCTTATCTGGATTAGCTGGGCCATGCTTTTAGTTCTAGAGAGGTTTCAGCAAACTTTGAAGCATAATGAAGCCAAACATAAGAATATACAAATTTTCACAAGCAGTGAGAAGCTTGTTTGGGGTTATAATGAAGTTATTTTAGCAATAGGCAGAAGGTGCACAGCCCGCAAGGCTGGCACAGCTTTCAAGGGGTAACTTGAGGAGAGCCCTTTGGTTCTATCATTTGGTTATTGCTAAAGAACTTTTGCATGATTGTTACTGTCCTTTTTTTCCTTAGGTGGAATTCAAGTTTCCTCCATTTGTAACAGAAGGTGCAAGGGATTTGATTTCCAAGCTCCTGAAGCACAACCCCTTCCACCGGCTGCCCCTGAAGGATGTGCTGCTCCATCCCTGGATCACAGCAAACTCCACCAAGACTCCCACCAGCAGGAAGAGTGATGGTGCTGCCCCCTCCAAAACATAGCTTGAGGAGGGTGACTTGTGGGATGGACAAGAGGAGCCCTGTACTGTGACTACTGTAATGCTTAAAATAGGAAAAGCAGGTCTTGGAATTAGTGGCAATTGGGATGCAAATCCTTGGGTTGGCTGGTGTCTTAAACTCGAATTGCAGCATAAAATTATTTGACTTTTCTTTGGAGCTTGTGGAATATTTAATGTACTTGAAACCAGTTCCATGTGGGCCAGTTTGCTGGTGTAAGTATGAAGCTGTTGGAGGCTCTTGTGCTGAAATGGTTGTTGTTCCACCACGAGGAAGTTGTTCTGGCTTATGGAACAGTGCAATATCCTGGAGATGCCTGCTCCTCCCTCCCTGGGCTGCTCAGGGTGTAACCTGTGGTGTAACCTGAAACTGAGCTGAATGCCTTTTTCAAGTGTTCCAAAAATGATGTGGCAATTGGTTTTGTCTCTAGTTTTAAATGTGAGCACTCAATTTGTAAAATAAAGACTTGTTATACTGCATCCAGCAGGGTGAGCTTCCTTGTGGCACTGCTTGGTGAGCACCAGCACAGCTGAGCTGCTGCTCCCAGGGGTGAATTCCCAAAGCAGAATTCCCACCTCTGTCAGAAGGGAAGCTCAAAGTGCTGGTGCCACGCAGTCATTGACCATCCCACAGCCCCAATTTAGGGTTGTAAGGTAAGTACCAAATGTGTTGCTACTTCACCTGCTTGGTTTATTCAGAGCTTGGCCTGCTCTGTCCTTTTTCCAATTAATTTATTCAAACATTTCCCAGCCCTTTCTCTCAGGAGTACTTTCAGATTGTTGGGTAACAGCAAAGAGCAAGACCAGATGTTTATTAGACACTCCTTAAAATGCACCAAGGGTCAGGCCCCTTGCCACCAAAATCAATGCCAACTCTTTTCCAGGAAAACACTTAAAGCAAACTAAGAGAAAGCAATTTATTGTCTTTTCAGAATAAGACTTTGCTATTTTACAAACAGTTTTAAAAAATGATCCTTCTACAAGCAAGGATTCCAGAATTCAAAATATATTCTCAAATTAATTTAAAATATACTTTGCAAAAATCTTCATCTAAACAAACTGCCAGTAGTATATACAACCACAAAAGTAATCAGAATTCTGGCCACAATTTATATGAAGCTGTTTCTTTACAGAAGAAAACTCTAGTGCTGGGTGCCTTCTACTGGCTTGTAAATGATTTTATTGTTTTAAATGATTTTGTATGATTTTGAAAAAACTTTGAATATTCCTTCCTTATTACATTTAAGACAAAGCATCTTTCTCAGAAATTATTCTAACTGAAGTAAACAAGGCTGCCTCAGAGTTATTTTGGAATTCTTATCCTTGATCCACATGAAACCTGGGCATTTCTGTGGGGGGGAAGGAGTTAAGGTGCAATTTAATGTTCTGGCTGAGGGAGGGCAGGAGGCTGATGATAACAAGAAGTTATTTGCTCCTTTCTTCCCTCAGCCAGCTCTTATCAAAACTCCACCCTTTCTTCCTCTATTCACTAAATTTTAGCAAAACTAGAAAGCTATTTCAGAGTATCTTCCTGCTATTTTACTTAAATCAGAGTTCTGTATAATCAGATCTGTCAGAGCCACTCTGGGTAAGTGCAAGCACAGAGATAACTCAGAGCAGCCAGCAGGTCCCAAACAGCCCCAGCTCTTGCTCAGGCTCTCACAGCAGCACAGGCCTGACACAAACCCAGGCCTACCCCAGTGTGACAATAATTTATCAGCTGTAGGATCAGGCTGCAGCTAGAGTGGAATATCCACCCCTGTAAGTACATCCTAACACCACAGTGTCCCCCTAGGGAAAGGCAAAGCCCCCTCATTGCTACATTCACCAGTCTCAGCCCAAAGCACGGGAATTCTTCCTGGGAAGCTGGGATTTGGAATGTTTGCACTTCTGGTGCAGATGATTTGAGTTTCACCCACGGGAGCAGAAAGCAGCTGGGGTTAGTTTAGACTTTTAGAAAAGTGTTTCCAGCACAAAGCCAGATCTCAAACTATTAAAACCCCCCAGCTGCTCTCTGCCTTGATGCTGTTTGGAGTATGTTCACATGGGTAAGTCTGGTTACACTGATTGCAGTAGGCTCAGGGCTTCTTCTGAGTCTATAGACATTTAAAAACAAAGGGACTTTAGTAAGGCTGGCTCCCAGCCAGCACATTTTCAAACAATAAAATCCCTGACTATGGAAGCAACACGCACAGTTTCAGAACAGTGCTTCACCTATTGTGCCTAAACCAATTATGACTGCAATACTTTATCATATGGGTACTCCTACAGAAGTCAGTTCAGTGCCTGTGTTGTACTGCAAGAAGGGCTATAACAAAAGCCTCTTCTAACAGAAGGAACACCCACCTGCCACTTTAGATTCCAATACCACCCTTATCAAGAGAAGTACCCATGTAGTGAGATTTTGTTTATTCTGCTAGAAAGAGACTCTCAGTTTCCCAGCTACACAGCAAAAAATGAAAGCTATGACTGTTTTTAAAAGAGAAAAAAAAAAGGCTCAAAAGCTGGCTTATAAAGACCCAGAACTATGCTCACTGTCAAGCATTTATATTCCCATTTGAACAGGTTTGTCCTAAGAATAAGCAGCAAAAGGGACAGGAGACAGGGACAGCATTTTTCACAGTGAAGGAACAAGTGAGAAACCAAGATGAGATTGACCTGAACCCAGAGCAGTCTTTGAAAGAAACGTTTGCCCTACAGAGCTGTGTGTCTGCCCTGGAGAGCAGGGCAGGAGCTCAGGGGCTGGAGGCAGGGGGTTTGAAGAGGCCAGCCAGGGGCTCAGGGGGTTTGAAGAGGCCAGCCAGGGGCTCAGGGGCTGGAGGCAGGGGGTTTGAAGAGGCCAGCCAGGGGCTCAGGGGCTGGAGGCAGGGGGTTTGAAGAGGCCGGCCAGGGGCTCAGGGGGTTTGAAGAGGCCAGCCAGGGGCTCAGGGGCTGGAGGCAGGGGGTTTGAAGAGGCCAGCCAGGGGCTCAGGGGCTGGAGGCAGGGGGTTTGAAGAGGCTGGCCAGGGGCTCAGGGGCTGGAAGCAGGGGGTTTGAAGAGGCCGGCCAGGGGCTCAGGGGGTTTGAAGAGGCCAGCCAGGGGCTCAGGAGCTCAGGGGCTGGAGGCAGGGGGTTTGAAGAGGCCAGCCAGGGGCTCAGGGGGTTTGAAGAGGCCAGCCAGGGGCTCAGGGGCTGGAGGCAGGGGGTTTGAAGAGGCCAGCCAGGGGCTCAGGAGCTCAGGGGCTGGAGGCAGGGGGCTTGAAGAGGCCAGCCAGGGGCTCAGGGGGTTTGAAGAGGCTGGCCAGGGGCTCAGGGGCTGGAGGCAGGGGGTTTGAAGAGCTCAGGGGCTGGAGGCAGGGGGCTTGAAGAGGCCAGCCAGGGGCTCAGGGGGTTTGAAGAGGCCAGCCAGGGGCTCAGGGGGTTTGAAGAGGCTGGCCAGGGGCTCAGGGGCTGGAGGCAGGGGGCTTGAAGAGGCCAGCCAGGGGCTCAGGGGGTTTGAAGAGGCCAGCCAGGGGCTCAGGGGCTGGAGGCAGGGGGTTTGAAGAGGCCAGTCAGGGGCTCAGGGGCTGGAGGCAGGGGGTTTGAAGAGGCCAGCCTTGCGGCAGTAGCGCACCACGAAGGGCACGGACACCACGGTGATGCTGATGCGCACGGGGGCGAAGAGCTTGTGCACAGCATAGGCCAGCACGAAGGTGCTGGTGCCAGCTGCCATCCGGGACTGCAGAGAGGCCTCGCTGAAACCCAGCTTGAGCAGCACCGCGCTCATGTCCACGCCGCTGCGGAGAGAGAGGTGCTGCTTTAGGTTAGCATGGAAAATATAAACTGCTAGGGGTTTGCTCATAAAGGTTCATGTGTCACAGCTCTACTCAGCCTTCAGAGATGAAGTTTGTCTGCAGCGATTCTTAAAGAGTTACTGTGAAGTAACTTAAGTGAAGTTGGCAGAGAGGAGATGCTGCTTTAGGTTAGGACTAAACATATGAACTGCTAGGGGTTTGCTCACAAAGGTTCATGTATCACGGTTCTACTCAGCCTTTGGAGATGGAGCTTCTCTGCAGCGATTCTTAAAGAGTTAGTGTGAATCTATATTACACTTAGCAGAAATTATGAAAGAAGTGTCTTGCACACAGAATGATTTGGGAAGACAAACTCACTTCTGCTCCTCCCCATCAGCACAGCAGGTGCTGTGGCACAGCCCATGAGCACCATGTTCATGTCCATGCCATGGCAGAGAGGAGATGCTGCTTTAGATTAGGATTAAAAACACAAACTGCTGGGGGCTTGCTCACAAAGTTTCATGTGTCACGGTTCTACTTAGACTTTAGAGATGGAGTTTCTCTGCAAAGTGATTCTTAAAGAAGTACTGTGAAGTTTCTCTGCAAAGTGATACTTAAAGAGTTACTGTGAATCTGTGTTGGAGTTTCATCTTCCCAAATTTATATTAAACTATATTCTGCGTCTTGGGGAAATGTATCACCTAAGCACAAACCAAATGAGGTACCTGCTGTTAGGCTTAGGGTTACAAAATGACAAATTAGCTAAAATCTAGCAAGGGAAGGAAGTGTTGAGGAGCTCAAATGGGCATTATCCACCAAATTCATTAATACAGACATAGCAGATTTCATCAGGGATTCAACCAGACTTGAAGGAAAAAAATGTTGTCACCCTGTGCCACAATGCAGTAAACAGGAGAAATGAGGCATTCATCTATTCCCACTGGAGTCAGGAATGAGCAGCAGGGACTGTTTGGGGTAATAACATGTTCCCCCGTCTCCTCAGCTGGAATACCTTGTGTAACACGCATTCCAACAAAGCCACACACACAATTCCCCACCTGACTCCTGTATTTTCACTCTAATCCTCTTCTAGTGGCTGTTATTTTCTGCAGTTCAACTGCACAAACTGTGTTCAACACCCAGAAAAATACCTTTATCTCTAAGCCCCAGAGCACTTTTGCATGGCTCTATCTCCCCAGACCAAACAAGAACAAAAGCTATCTGCAGAACAAATACATTTTCTCTCTGGTCAGTTATGGTGGTGCTGTGCCTGCTGTTTTCCCTGCTGATGAACCTGTGCAAAATGTGCATGTACAACTCTGCTGTCTCATGCCTGATGGGAGATCAGGTCCATTTATGGACCCATCCATACTCAAAATGCAGGAGGGAAGGTCCAACAGGCATAAAGTGCCTGTCTCCTGTCAGGGATGAGCACAATGGTAAATATTTATTTTACTTTTATCACTACCTAGAGGTGACAGACAGCTGTAGAAACCTCACCTTGACACAGCCAGGTAGAAGATTCCCAGAGATACTAAGGAAATTCCAACATGGAAGGAAACCCCTACAGCACCGTACTCTTTAAAAATTTGTTTCAGCTGCTGGGATTTGTTGAGTTTCTTGTTTTCAGCACTGGGATCAGTGGCTGCGTTTTTGAGGGGTTCAGCTGCATCCTAAAAAGAAAACAATTAGAAGTATTTGTTAGCATAAAGCAAAGATCATATTACACTTAGCTGAAATTATGAAAGAAGTGTTTTGCCCACAGAGTGATTTGGGAAGACAGAAACTCACTTCTGCTCCTGCACATCAGCACAGCAGATGCTGGGGCAGAGCCCAGACAAGCTCCCTTCTCCCACCTATTCCTGTCAAAGGAATGCACTGATCGTGGTGTAAACTCTTACACAATTCAGGTTTCATAATTAAAAGCAGATTATTTGATCCCAATGTGTGCCAAGGCACGCCCAGACAGCTGCTGGAGCCACGAGACTGAGGTGTGAGAGCTATTTGCTTCCACCCGCTGCCCAGCCTCACCCAGTGACTCCCCGAAGCAGCACCGCTCTTTGTTCCAGGGGCACTGCAAGCCCGCCTGGTACCGCTAAACAACAGCTCCCCGATGGAAGAGATCCCAAGTTTAAGTTCCTTTAAATCACCCTTAATGGATGAGCTGATCAAAGGGAGAACTGCAAGTGTTGACAGCCACAAGTAATTCTGCTGCTATGGTGTAGACAACAACTGCAGGGACAGTCCAGGGCTGGTGCTGAGAGCCCAACTGCACTGAAAATATTTGTCACAGCAGAAGTCATTGATAGATTTCTATTTGGGTACCTCTCAAGTGCAGAACTTCGTACTAAACCATATCCCAAAGCAATCTGAAAAGAAATCAAAGGAGGGCAGCTGTGCTGGCAGCCCTTGGAAACTCTCCATGCTTGCCAGAGAAGAAATACTGACAGGAAGAAAACATTTCCACAAAAACCTCAGGATTTGTCTCTAGTCAGGAAACATTAGAGGAGTCCTTTCTTTCCAGCTGAGCTTAGCAGCAGTTGTGAGGATGTGACACCACCACAGGACAGGCAGAGCCACCAGGTGCCTGCCACCACTGTCCCACTGTGGTTTCAAGGTATACAAATTCGAAGAAAAATATTCTTGATTAATTATTGCACTTGCTAAGAGTGTAAATTAGCATATAAGACAGTCTTACAACCCTCAAGGCAAGCACACCACCCGCCCAAACCCTAACCCCACACTTGTTTGCTGGTTTTCTCTTTTGTAATTATTTGTGTAACTCTGTATTTCATTTTGACAGGAAGTCATACAAATACAGAAACAGGAAATTGTGTAGCTTAGCTTATCCTGATTCTTGTCGTTCTAAAACTTCGGATTTTTCTTTTGTGACGCATAAACTCTGGGTCTTAGGGATGGATCATAAGGACTGAAAAATTGCTTGTTCTGATATTTCAAGTCCATTCCAATTCCCCTGTATTCACAGGCTCGCACACCAGGAATGGTATTGAAGCAAAACATAAAAAAAGAACCATTTCAACAGATATAATTTGGAGTATCCAGGGCAGTCACGTAGGGAATAATGCCCAGCTTAGCAAGTAAAGCCGCTGCCAATTTCCATGTCACTCTGCGACAATATTCCAGCTAAAAAGCCGATTTTATTCGCATCATTCAGGCGATTTGAAGCATGAAAACACACCTAAAACACCCCGTGATCCTTCACAACGAGGCAGCAGAAACCACGCTGCAAATTACGCTGCAGACATTAAAGCTCACACTGCCAACGTGCCCACCAGCAGGTGCGAACCAGCTCCCACAGAAACACGATAAACAGGATTTATTGATCCCACGGGGGCTGGAAGAGGGGATTGAGGTGAAAAACACGGAAATACACCCCAAAAAGCCGAGGAGCAGGGTGAGACAGGGGCGTTCAGCGCCACCGGGCAGGCGGCCCCTCAGCCCTCACGTACCTTGGCGCGGGCGCGGCGCGGGCCCGGCCCCGGCGGCAGCGCGGCCCAGGCGGGGCAGGGGGAGCGGGGCAGGCGGAGCGGCGACAGCAGCGGCGACAGCAGCGGGGACGGCCGGCACAGGCGGTACATGGCGGCACCGCCGGCACACGGCAGCGGCCCGGCCCCCCGAGCGGCATGACGGGCCGGGCACACGCCCCGACCGCCTCCTTAAAGCCGCAGCGTTCGCGTTGGTGAGGCGCGGATGTGCTGTGGCACCGGGGGTTCGTCCCGACCGTTTCTCTCGGACACCTCAGCGATGCGGCAGTCTCGGCTCCTCTTGGCAGCCTGTGTTAGGGCCTCACCGCCAATTATTTCGTCCTAATATCCCGTCTAATCCTTCCCTCTTTCATTTTGAAGTCATGTCCTCTCATCATGTCACTCCAAGCACTTATAAATGGTCACAGAGCTACAGAATATCCCGAGTTGGGCTGCACCCACAAGGATGATCCAGTTCAGCTCCAGGTTCTGCACAGAACGCCCCAACATTCCCCAACAAACGAGAGGGATTCTTCCTCAGGAACTGCAGTGACAGGGCGAGGGAGAATGGCTTCAAACATAGAGAGGGGAAATTCACAGCCCAACAATCCCAAAAATTGCAACAATCCCATCCCTGGCAGCGCTGTCTGAATGTGCACCTTGGTCAGTGCCCATTTCCTGGGGAGCCTGGGCAGTGCCCAGCACCTCTGGGGAAGAACCTTTCCCAAAATCCAGCCTAACCCTCCCTGGCACAGCTCCAGCCAGTCCCTGGGTCCTGTCACAGCACCTTGCGTGTGGCCTTGCTGAATGAGCTTCACCAGGTTCACAGTCTCACCTCTGAAGCCTGTCCAGGTCCCTCTGGATGCCACCCGTTCCTCCAGTGCATGACCACCCGACACAGCTGGGAGCTGTCACAAGCTTGCCCTCATAACTGTGATCACAAGGGTTTCATCCCATAATTTTTCTGCAATGCAGAAAAAAATGCATTTTTCTGTGCCACCACAGACACAGCTGCTCATGGCAGGGTGAAGGGTGACTATCACTGACACTGCCTCCCCAGGTCGAGCCCCAGCAATGAAATCCTGCTCTCTGCCAGCTGCAAAGCCTTTCCTCTTCAGGCACGCTGTGTTTCCACAGCCATGCGAGCACACAGGCCTGAGGACAATGGGAGGACTGTGTCGATAAATAAGAGGAATTTGCCGTTCAGGAGCCCGGAGTGGAGCTGCACAGGCCAGCACGGCGTGGTGCAGTGCTGCTGGGTGGCTGCTGTCGAGTGCAAGGCTCCACAGAACAGATGGGTTTCAGAAAGGATCTCAGGGGAAGAGAGGCTGAGAGCTTTTCTTGTATTGAAACAACCTGTTCTGTCTCAACAGCACTGCCAGTTCCATGCTTTACACTGCCTGTAGTTCTTGCTTCATAAATCCAGCCCCTCTCTGAATGCTTTGGAGAAGAACACAATTCTCAGAACACAATTTCAATGTTTATTACTGCTCCAAAGCAATTTGCTGTGTGTTTTCTGTGACTGTTTACACACTTACACACCAACACCACTGGAGCAGACAGGTGATATTGGCATGGCAGTGCTCTGAGCAGACCACACTATAACTTTGTCTGTTTTCTTTCTAAATAATAAAAAAATCCCAGGAGTTAATTCTGGTCTCAGCAAAGGAGATGTCAGGGGCAGCTCTGGGCTCTGCATAGGAACACTGTGTCTGCCTGGGAGATCCATCAGAGCCTCTCTGGGACAGAGACCAGGGAGCTGCTCTCCTGTGACAGATGTGTGGCTGCTGCTGGACAGCCAAAAATCCTGGGCAAGTGCAGAAAAGAGCAGGAGGTCACTTAATGAGGCATGAAAGCATTAGGGCTGGCACTTGTATATGCACAGCCTGGCTGTCTGCTGCCCCCAAATCTCAGTGGGAGGTTTTGTTTGGAAGCAGGAAGGAACAATATGATAAACAGCCAGTGATATATGCTCAGTGAAAAGGGAGCAAACAGCCAGGCTGGAGACACCTTAATGTGAAGATGGTTTATAAGAAAAAGACATTAGATCTGTCCTGCTCATTGTAACTAAAACCAAGGGGAGAAGGTACAGCTTTCAGAAACAGCTCAAGAAAAGGCTTCTGCACAGACACACATATCTACAAACACATCTCAAAATGTTTTGGTGTCTGCACTAAATATAAGATACACTGAAAAGAGGCATGCTACAAAATGCTAAAAAAATGCACAGATCTCAACAGTGTGTCCTGCAGTCCTGAAACACAAGTGTGGGGTGTGGAGATGTGAACCCCAATTCCAGATGGCTCAGGGATATGTTATTTAAAAATAAACCTAAATTACTGACACACTTTATCTACTACATTTGTGCTCTGTCTGAACCCCTGTTCCATCCCTCAGCCTGTCCCTACATAGATAAACTCTTATTTTCCATTTGCAATTTTCCTACAGGCAGAGAGTGCTGCTCTGGTTTTGTGTTATTTGTGTTATTGCAGTCACTGTTTATCATCAGTAAAAGGGAAGCTGGGAATTGAGCTGAGAGCTATTGAAGAGGCAGTAGGTAAAATATCACCAGGAGATGCATTTGAATTCCTGTGAGGCAAAGACTTTTCCATAATGACCATCCTCTATAATTTGTCAGAAAGGTTTGTCATGTTTTTATCAGAATGTGTATTATGTAGTGACACAGGGGGTACTCTTTATCAAGGTATCTATTATAAACCTCTTAGATAACAATTTCCCTTCCATAATTTGACTTTCTGAAGTCAAAATCTCTCTTGGTTTGACAGTGCTGTAGGAACAGTGCCAGAACTGAAGTGTGCTCTGATGTACAATTTCTGTAACCAGAAATCCAGGATGCAGAGTTGTTCAGTCTGTGCTTTGCTGAGAGCCCAAGCTAAATACAACCACTGCTGCCTGTGGGACTGCAGTGAGCAGCTTTAGGAGTTAAATCCATTTGCAGGGATAAATGAGATCAGTAATTCAGTAACAGCTTGGGAGAATGTCTTAGCCAACCTACAAGGATGTTTTGATGATGAAGAAATCTTAGAAGTCTGCTAAGTTTTCTAAATTGCATGAGAGCAGATTCATTACATGTTTTTAGAATTTTTTAATCTACAAATAATTCAGGGATTGTGAATGTGCTGGCACCAAAATTTAATGCCTTCTAATGGACACGTAGGAAGTGGTTCCTGTGTGAGAGTGGGAGGCAATTTCTTCTTCGTGCTGGAAGCTGTGTCATTTAGTATTAATACAGATGTAGTAATGTCATGCATAGAAATGTAATGAGATGAGCTGTGAACTGATCATGAACCTCATTTTGAACAGAAGCTAGGGTAAATTTTTTCATATTATAGTAAATTAAGGGCATGGTATGTGAACTAGTTTTAAGTAGCCCTGTTCTTTAGTACATTGGCTTTTTCACATCATGTTCCCAGAGTGTTTGAATCATGAAGACAAGATAATGGGGTAGTTGATAAGTTGAATAAGAATAAAAATGATATCAGGAAAGGAATATCCATCTGCAGTTGATAAACATACTTATTAGTGAAGTTCTGGGTCACGGATCCTTGGGTACATGCAATCAGCTTTCAGGGACATCGTTCTTCTCAAGCAAAACCAGTAGAAAGTCATTAACTCCTGGTATCTTCTGTTCAAATGGGAGAAGAGTGCAGTGCTAGGATTGCTAAATCCACTGAAATCCAGCCCAGGCATTTTCATCTTTGAGAGGACTTCAGGGCAAGAAAAACTTCTCAACAGGACAGCAAAGAAGGAATTACTTGTTTATTTTACCTGGAAATCCTTGAAGGACGGGGCTGTGTGGGCCTATCCTGGAGATGTGGGAATCCCTGATTGTCCAAGCAAGGGGAACAGTGGGTTCAACTCAAATCCTCCTTAATCGGGAAATTTACATGATGACTTGTGGGATCCTCTGCACAATGGGGAACTTCCCCTACCCAGCAGGTCTTGCTCTTTAACCCTACTCTATTTCTGGCCAGGATGTATCACAGAAATAATTTCACCTACACACAGCCCGGGTATGCAGAGAAAATCATTCCATGACACATGGATTTGACTGGATTTTCCACCAATTTTATGCAGTCAAAACCCACAGGGATTCATTGGTTGCAAGCCACGTAGTTCTCAGTGTTTGGTTTCCTATTGGTTACAGATCACTTCTGATGCTAATTTGCTCCTCATTCTTATCTCTTCTTCCCAGACCAGGTGCCTCAGACCACCCCAGGCTGTTGTTTGGAGCTGATGGTTCGTTAATTGCTGTTGATGGATGTTCTCCTTTGAGTGTCCTCTGTACCACTCTCAGTCTGTTGAGACAATGCTCATGGATAGAAACTCTAATTCCCTTCCCCAGGGCAAAAGCGAACACAGGCTGCACTTGATGATACCAAAAGCCTTTTCCAACCCAGTTCATTCCATGATCCTGTGAAAACTGACTAAAGTTATAAAATAAAAAAAAAAAAATTAAACTTGGTATATTTTCCAACACCTTGGTTGACACAAGGCAGCAGCATTAATTCTCCTCTCCACAAGATCCTCACCAGTGATCCTCTGATGAGATGTTTTTCCATTTGGCCGGTGTGATGTGCAGCCTTTTGGGTACGTGTGAGTGCAAATCACATCCTGCCGGGTGTGCGATTGACAGCCCGGCAGAGCAGGGAGGTTATTTCCTCACAGGGCAGCTGAACTACAGCGGTGACAGCAGAACCTCTTCCTTGGCACCCGCTGTGTGTCACCCTAAGGGTGGCTCAGCTCCATGTCCCAACAGCTCCTTCTGCCCTGGCTCTGGCAGCTCTGGGGCACACAAACCTCCCTTCACAGCAGCACTGCAGCTCTCACCTTGCTGAAACCACTCACCTGGGCCACGTGTGAGGAGCAACGACTGCTGTACCCACTGCTGGTTCCTTGAGATGTGGTTGTCAAGGAGCCGTTCTCCATCGGAACACAGGCTTTAACGTAAACTCATCTTTTTTGGTGTTGCCATCTTATTGCAAAAGTCCCATAACTTCTCAGTGATTTCTCATGGGTGGCGGCTCCTCCTTCTCAGCACAGCCAACAAACTCCATCTCTCTCCCCTCACCCAGCTAACCCACTCTTTTGTA